TCTGTTTGGATTCACTGAGTTATGAGTTATTAAACCTTCCTTCAATTCTCTTTAAAGATTCTGCTCTTAAGCTCTAAATAATTATATTGAAAAAACCCACAACAGAGCATTTAACCCCAAAAAAACCCCATGACATTTGGACCAAGCAAGGATCAGATTAAGACTCTGTAATATCTAAGAGATCTTGAAAGACTTCGGTTCAAAGTGGAGTAAGAAAGAAGGAAAATGATTTACGATGAACAGACCAAGCATAAGCCGGAGATTCTACCCAAGATACAAGGAAATAATCTAAGATTGTCGGCCCCTCTCCTAATCTCAGTGCTCAAGAATGGGAAGATATGGATCTGAAGGGTGTCTAATCCACACCACACAGCAAGGCTTTGCCTATCCCTGCCTGACAGACAGTGTGAACTGAACCATCTGCTGAGACACGCAGGTCACAGCCTCTCCTCAACGTTCCAGCTGTGAGAAAACCCAGACATCAACTCAAAAACCAACCCAACCAACCAAAATAACCTGAACACCAACCAAAAACCAACCCAACCAAACTAAACACCAACTAAAACCAACCCAACCAACCAAAACAACCCAAACACCAACTAAAACCAACCCAACCAAACTAAACACCAACCAAAAACCAACCCAACCAACCTGAACAACCCAAACACCAACCAAAAACCAACCCAACCAACCTAAACAACCTGAACACCAACCAAAAACCAACCCAACCAAACTAAACACCAACTAAAAACCAACCCAACCAACCTAAACAACCCAAACACCAACTAAAAAACGACCTAAGCAACCAAAACAACCCAGACACCAACCAAAAACCAACCCAACCAACCTAAACACCAACTAAAACCAACCCAACCAAACTAAACACCAACTAAAAACCAACCCAACCAACCTAAACAACCCAAACACCAACTAAAACCAACCCAACCAACCTAAACAACCCAAACACCAACTAAAAACAACCCAACCAACCAAAACAACCCAGACACCAACTAAAACCAACCCAACCAACCTAAACAACCTGAACACCAACTAAAACCAACCCAACCAACCAAAACAACCCAGACACCAACCAAAAACCAACCCAACCAACCAAAACAACCCAAACACCAACTAAAACCAACCCAAGCAAACTAAACATAAACTAAAAACCAACCCAACCAACCCAACCAACCTGAACACCAACCAAAAACCAACCCAACCAACCTAAACACCAACTAAAAACCAACCCAACCAACCTAAACAACCCAAACACCAACTAAAACCAACCCAACCAACCTAAACAACCCAAACACCAACTAAAACCAACCCAACCAACCTAAACAACCTGAACACCAACTAAAACCAACCTAAGCAACCTAAACAACCCAAACACCAACCAAAAACCAACCCAACCAACCTAAACAACCTGAACACCAACAAAAACCAACCCAACCAAACTAAACACCAACCAAAAACCAACCCAACCAACCAAACCAACCAACCCATTTTCACTTCACAAGCAGCCAGTGAATAGGTCAGGGTGTACAAGGCCAGGCATGACCCACTGGCACAGAAGTTCCTCTGAGTGCTGGAGGAAGATCATCTCCAGAGCCTGGATATGAGAGCAGCTCCCCTCAACTACAAACTGCTCTGAGAGGCTTTTCTGCTCTCACCATCCCTAAAGGGTCACAGGGGCTCGTGTCCAAAAGGCTCCATTTCAGGGCCAGTGCTCTACAGCTCCTTCCTAAAGGGCCTGGATGTGGCACTGGAAGGCAGACTGAGCGTGTTTGGTGACGACACCGAGCTGGGAGGAGCTGTTGACTCCCTCGAAGGCAGAGATGTTGTTCAGAGAGATCTCGACAAACCTGAGGGCTGGGCAATCCCCAGCCAAGGGAAGTTTAACGTGCTCAGGTGCTGGATTCTGCCCCCTGGATGCACAGACAGGCTGGGGAATGGGAGGTTGGAGAGCAGTGCTGGGGAAAAGGATCTGGGGGTCCTGGTGGGTGGCAAGATGGATCTGAGTCAGCAGAGTGTCCTGGCAGCCTGAAGGGCCACCCTGTCCTGGGAGGCATCAGGTGGCCTCACCTCAAGTCTAGGAGGGACACGGAGATGGGGAAGGGTGTGAGGAGCAGCTGAGGGCACTTGGCTGGCTCAGCTGGAGCAGAGGAGACTGAGGGGAGACTCCTCAGGGGCTGCAGCTCCTCCCGAGGGCAGGCGGAGGGGCAGGCGCTGAGCTCTGCTCTGGGACCAGGGACAGGAGCCAGGGAAGGGCTGGAGCTGTGCCAGGGGGGTTGGGATGGATCTCAGGGAAAGGTTCTTCCCCCAGAGGGTGGTGGGCACTGCCCAGGCTCCCCAGGGCAGTGGGCACGGCCCCAAGGCTGCCAGGGCTCCAGGAGCGTTTGGACAACGCTCTGAGGGACAGGGGGGGATTGTTGGGGTGTCCTGGGCAGGGCCTGGAGTTGGACTGGATGATCCTTGGGGCTCCCTTCCATGCCAGGACATTCCATGATTCTAAGTGGTTCCCTGGTCCTGTGTTCAGCTCCAGACAATGTTTGCATGACACAGAACCCCTCAAAAGCTTTGCATTCCAAAAAGCACCATCTTGGGAACAATCTCTGCAGGATCCTGTTGGTCTCCCCTACCCACAACTACCTGGGAAATCAAGAGTTTTCAAGTATTTATGTTTTCTACTTGACTGCAGAGGGTTGAGGACAAGCAGAACTTTCTACCAGAGCTCCTTGGACCTGCCTCTCACAGAGCAGCCAAACCACAAAAGTGCTTTTCAATATCAACAAAAAAAATCCCCCCCACCCCAAAAAGAAAGAAAGAATTTTACTAAAAAGAGTCAAAACTGGGAACAGAGAGGCAAATTACGGGTTTGTCTGGTAATAACTGGCATTTATTCCTCCTTCAGCAAGATCTTTATCACCCCCTTGTTGTTTTAATTTAAGAGAGCGACGAGCAAGGTAAGAAGCAGCGGAAGTTTCTCGCCTGGTGTTTGTTTGCTGAGCAGTTGTTCCCATTTCTAGCACACCCCCAGGGTATCTCTTGCTGCCATCAACTCTACATTACTCTAGAATTTCTCGTGCTCTAAAAGTAACCACTGAAGATCGTCTCAGTTGTGGAAGGAAGGGAGGAGTAGAAGTGCACGAGCACATGAGGTTCGTTTGCTTTTAAAAAACAAAACACACACACACCAAAAAAAAAAAACAAAACCAAGCCCTGCTTTGCTTCCTCCTCAGTCAATTTTATCACAACAACGTTTGCTTTCAGCAGAAACTCCCAAATATTGTGAGGGGAAGGGACACACTCAGTTTTGAACAGGCTGATTAAAGCCTGAGCGATCGTGTCTAAATTAAAGCCTAATCAACAAAGCTGAACGTTCACCAAATTCCTCCTTTTGTACAAAAGAGGGGGATGAGGAGACACAAATCCAAAAAGGCCTCCTGTAGGTGAGTCAATCCTCACCTTTGCTGCTGCTGTTACACTGCCCCTGCTAAGAATAATCATGTTTCCAACAAGGAATAAAAGGAAACCACATATAAGGGGTCATATAGGTATATTTAGTATTTGTTTGACTCATTTACCTTCATCTAGTCCCTTTAAACACTAAAATTTTTAAGTGGACTTTTTCTCTTTAAAAGATGGCCAATGAAGATACTTTCCTTGAAAGCCAAGTAAAGAAAAATAACATAATTCACAATAAAGACTCCCTTCAGCATTTCCTGACAGATTTCAGGGTTCCAGTGTTCACCATCACCTCTTAAGCAAGAAAATCAGAGGAACAGGAGCAAACAATGCTCTGTCTGCTGGGTGAAATAAGATCTTTCAAACCTTGGATCAGCCTGGGGTTATGGTTATGGAAACTTTGGTCATGGCAAGTAGAACTTTTCCCCTGATGCAAGGAGTTTTGTTTGAGAACAACCGGTTTGCACAAGCAGCCAGGTCAACAATAGATGTGGAGCCAGGTGTTTGGTGCAAAATTCTGTGCCTATTCATAAGCAGAAAGTTGTTTTGTTGGTTTGGTTTTTTTTGTTTTTTTTTTAGCCAACTGAATGTTCCTTCCCAGTGTCAACCGAACTCTGCTGCTGTTGTTAAAAGGAGACTCGAAACTAAGAGTTCTAAGTGGCTTCAGTTCTTGAAACGGTTTCACTGGTGGCTGAATATTTTGAAAACAACTCCAGGGAGGGTAAAAAAAAAAAAGAAAAAAAAAAAAGAGAAAAAAAAAAAGTAGAAGTAGAAGCTCCATTAAGAGAAATCTTATTTTCAATTCAGGAGATTTAAACACCTGCCCGAATTTCCATACATAATGGACCTGATGCAGGAAGCAGCTCTGTGTTCAGAAAGTGTTTTCTGTTTATTTTGAATGTGTGAATGCAGGGATGATCCCACCTGGACAGACTGATCAGGACAGGCCTGTCTAGCCTTGTACCTGTGGCAGATGGCTCAGGAAGAGCATCCAAACAAGGTGAAGATGCAGCTCTGAGTCAGAGTGCCCTGCAGACACTCAGCTGCACAGGAGCCAGAGAGAGCATTTTGGCTTTTGGGACACCCTGGTGCCCCTGTTTCTGTCAAGAATTATCTAGGGGTTGGTTTTTTTAAGCCATTTAAATTTTTTTTTGCATTCACCACATTCTCTGGCAAACACAGCAATAAATCCTGAATTTAGCTGATTGTATAAAAGCCAACCTCTTCATTTTGAAGGTGCCATTTACTAACCTGATGTGTTGCCTACTTGGAATAGACAGACTATTTTTTTTTCCCCACCCTTTTCCCTTGCCACAAGCGATTTTACAGATCTGTCACACCACTCCCTCAGCATCTGCTTTCCAATCTGAAGATTTCCAGTCTGATTTACTGACAATCCTGCCGATTTGCTGATAATCTCATCCCTTCCTCTGCTGTTGAAATGTAAGATAATGAGATAGAAAATTCTTATACCCATTAATAGACTGAAAATTGGGGGGAGTGGCTGTTAAAAGAAATAAAAACCTCCTTACCACTGGGTGGCTTGGGCCGTGGGGGGACGTTTTTCTTGGGTGGCAACGCTGGGGTGTCTGCTTTGCTTTTGAAAGGGTCATCTGAAAATCCCCCCCCTCCAAAAGAGGAGGCGAAGGGGTCGGGAGCTGCTGACTGCAGGAGGGAAAGAGAGGAGAGAAAGGATGTCAGCACACTGGAAAACCCTCTGGTTTCATTAATTTCTAAAAAAAAAATAAGATAATTATTCATTAACACTCAAATTGTGTTCTAATCACCGTAATTACTTTGAGAATTTTTAGTGCCAGTAAAAAGCTGATGAAAAAAAAAATAAAAGGAAGTAAAACTCTCTATTTTTTTTTTTTTTTCCTATTTGGCAGTGAAGTCACACCACAGCCTGACCTCCACTGTGATAAATCATGGAAGAACCTGGAAAAACACTGCAGAATGGGGAGCTTTATTCCAAGTTTTATTCCAAACTTTTTTTCCAAGTGACACCCAGCTGTGGGAAAAGCTCAGGGAAAATATCAAAAACATGGATTTAATGCTGCCTGTGCTCAGCTGGCTCTTCTGAAGGACTCTCCTGCTGGATAAGAAGGGCACAGAAATGATGCCCTGCAGGGAAATTTGTCAATGGGAAATGAAGAAAGAGGGATTTGGGGAGCAAAGGTAAAATCTGTAGTCAAACCTTTGCTAAAATTTCTACCTCGAGCCAGACACATCGATATTGGTAAAGGCTGTTGCCACCTAGTGGAGAGTAAACTCCCCAAAATGGTATGAAAAGTTAGAAAAAAACAAACATGAAATGTAATTAGTCCAGGTGATATGATAATCTCTTTTATTTTTAACATTTACTCCACAATTTTCAAGCACTACTGTGGAACAAACAGAAGGAGTTGAAGGAAACTGTAAATTCCAAACTCCCCCTCAGGAAGATAAAAATTTTTATTATCCTTTTTCAATTATCCTTTTCCTTTTTCAGGTGCATCCTGAACCTTTCTCTTCATCTGCCACTCAAAATGAACAACAAATTGCCCACTTAAAACATGGGAAAGGTTGAGTGACTGTTAAGAGTTTACACATCTTTAGTGTGTTTGGTTAATGGTTGGACTCCATGATCTTAGAGGTCTTTTCCAAGCTTAGTAATTCCATGATAAATTCAGGAACAAGTCAGGGTACTACAATTCTACGAAGTAACTGAACACCCTTCTTAGAAGTTAAAACACTGCAAGGTAATTTCTTTGAAATTCCTTTTTGCTCAGCTGGTGTTTGAAAATGTTTGTGAAAAGCTGATTTATCCCTGATTTATCCCTGCCAGTCTTGGTAAGATCTGCCACATCTGCCACGGGTGGGAAATGCTTTGTTAAGCAACTGGTGGGGCCGATCAGAAAGCAAAGGAGCAGACCTGGGTTGTCAGCTGAGAATTTACAATCACAGCACCCATTTCTGATTTCTCTGCACATCCAATTTTAAAGGGACAGTTGCTTTCCTCGTAACCTTTACCTTTGACATCTGACTGAAGTCTGCAAATCCCTCCCCACTGCTGAAAGCACCGCTTCCAAACGGATCCAGCGTTCCAAAGGGATCTGGAACAGATAACAGGGAAAAGGAGGTTCTTTTAAACAATACTTAACAGTGACAAAGAACTGGTGCTGCTAGTGGAGCACAGAACTGGGCAGGTGATGAAAACACGCCTGTATTTTGATAGCTGGCATGAGAGGTTACAAGAGAATTCCATAAGACAATTGGTTTTGTACCAGTTGTTTGGAGGGGAAAAAACTCAAAGAAAATAAGAAAAAACCTGAAATATTTGGTGTCATAACCCACAGCAGGATCATGATGCTGTTTGGCCAACAGTTCACAAGATTCTCTATTTTCAACTCTTACATTTGATTCTTCTTTTATAAAAAAGATTCCTCCTTATTAATCTTCATAAGAAAATGTTTTCCTCTTACCTGGACCTTTTGAAGAGATACTGGAAGACGTAAAAGGATCAGTGCTTTCAAAAGGGTCAGGCTAAATGAGAACAAAGACACAGAATTATTGTTCTGCTGCACTGTCACCTTGCCTTTTTATGCACATCAAAAATCACAATTATCTCCAGTTTCAGATCACTCTGCTCAGTGGAAATAGACTGGGGTAAAATCAGCTGATTATATGAAATTTGGCTATTGATACCCTTGAACAAAACACCAAGAACCTACAGGTGCCAAGTGCAAAAAAATCCTGAAATACAACATTAGCTACCAAAATAGGAAAACTGAAGTGCTTAGTCTTTAAGCAACAGAATAATAAACTGAATATTCAAGTCAGGCATTTATATTATTATTAATCCAGAGTCTGGGTACTGCTCCTTTTTAAAGAGGTGCTGTTTTCAGCTGCTTTGATCCAAGGACAATCCTACCCCTCCCACTGACAAACTGGAATATTGTCCTAACTCTTGGGTGCCAACAGGCAGAGAATTGCATAGGAGGGAGGGAAAGAGGAATAAAAACAATCCATAAAAAACCAAACTCTCATCTCCAAACAAGCACACACATGTGCCTCAGGACAGGTTCAGAACTGGGGCTATATTTATAGATATAAATATAGATAGATATATAAAGATATCATTGTAATTGTGATTTAACAGGTGTGTTCTGTGCAGGGGGCTCAGGAATCCATTGACCAGAGCAGTTCCTCAGCTCCATTCCCTATGTGACTGCACAGATCAATGGAATGGAGGGAATGGTGGGAATTAGTGGGTGATGGTGGCCTGAAATTCCCAACAGAGATGAAAAATATCCACCTTACTGCACCTCACTATCCTGGAAGCAGAGAGAACACTGCTGATTGCCTCAACAATCCATATCAATTTTTAAGGGTAAAATTAATGACATTTCACCAGTTAAGAGAAAAGTATTTTGAGTTATTTCACTCTTTTTAGCTTTCAGACAACGAGCCTGTCAACAGTAAAGGAATCCATTGAGTGTAGATTTAAAAATGCCTGACCTTTGAGGGTAAAGCAGGGGGTTTTGTGAATGGATCTGAGGTAAATGGGTCGCTCTTCACTGGCTTCTTGAAGAAATCCTCGTGGGCAGAGCTACGAAATGGGTCACTCTCCTTAAAGGGATCACCTCCAAAGGGATCTGAAAGGAGCAGGAAAAGGTAAATAGAACATATAAAATGACCTCACACTCAAACTGATTCTTTAGGAACAAACAGTGATTTGGTGAATCTGGTAAAGTTTGAATTCCACCCTTCTCATTAAACTGCTGCTCCTGAAGGCACAAAAACCTGCCAGGTGTCTTTGTCCCCACGTGCAACCCAAACAACTGAAGCCAGGGAAAAGCTGGGAAATCTTTGTGCTTGGTTACAGATTGTTTCTCCCCCAGGTATCCTGTGATCCAAAGGGTTCTTACCTGCTGGAGCAGGGGGCTGTTCTGCAAAAGGATCGTGCTGGAATGGGTCACCTGTGGAGAACAGAAAAATATTGAGCAAGATGATGAAAGTGTGTGAAAATATCATTTACTCAACGATTGGTCTTGGAAGGTGTCAGATCACTTACTGCCTTTGAAAGGGTCTGCTCCCTTAAATGGATCAGATTTGAAAGGATCTTCTGACTGGAATGGGTCTGTGTGCAATTCTTGGGTGTTGTTGGTGAACATCAAGGCTTTGTTCTTAAACGGATCATCCTAAAAACCAAGTGGAAAAACATCACAGCAGCTTACCAGGATTCAAACACTCAGTTGGCACAGAATTTCTCCTGAATGGGGATCTTAAAAACAACTTCCTGAAGAGCTTTCTGAATGCATGACTTGCAAGTTGAAGTAATTCCAGGCTGGAAGGAAATACATAGCCCAGGGCTACACAGAACATCAGAAGATAACAGTGCTTACAACAATTAAAGGTTCAACTGTTACCCATATTAAAATATTCAACCCTCAACCACTCAAATAATGAAAACAAATCAACCCCCAACCATCACACTGCCAAAAAAAATTCCTCCCCCACATCATTTGACAGCTCAGCTTCAGGTAAAGACACTTCTTTAAAACATTTTATGGGCTATTTGTGGGCTCCAGATACAAGGAATTCCTCCTGAGGGCTCATATTCCAGATTGCTTCTTGTTAACTCCTTCTGAAAGCTCCAAGCAGCGATTTCCCCCTTCAAGAGTCACCCCCACCTTTTGATGACAGAAATTCATGACAACTCGAGTTCTGAGGCCTCCTGAGGATGTTCCTTTGGGATGGTTTGGGTCTGTTGTGGGGTTTTCTGATGAAAACAGCCCTGTTTGCCATTCCAAGGAAAACCAGAGCCATTCCATCCCAAAATGAGGAACACCCAGCAACAACTACCCACTTGCATCGCCCCCAACCCCATTTTTCATCCCTTGACAAGGTGCAGATGAAAGCAGCTCAGAACAGCAGGGAGCCAGGAGGAAGAGGAAGGAAGGATTGAGAAACAGGAAAGGGGCACAAATGGTTTTAAAAAGAAATGACCATGAACATAACACTGGGTGTCTCCTTCCAGTAAGTGATTCTCGGGTTTTGCAAGTGAGAGAAACATCTGGAAGTTGGCAGTGGAAATTAAATGGGATATTATGCAAGCCATGCAAGGAGAGAAAGGAAGCAGTGAAGGGTTTTAAGGCCACATTTTTCAATCTTCTTTTGAGCAGTTTGTTTTTACAGACCAAGCTGAAGGCAGGGCATTCAAACAGCAGTGCCTGCTGATTATTTACTGTACATGACATATATTTAACTTCATATTAAACCCACAGCAAATGCTGTGCTTCCAAGGGGCTCTGGAAAACAAGTTTTCCTTGCTGATGTGCAAGCACAATCAAGCACCTGTGCAATTTTGTATTTAAGAGAAGAAAGAGGCTCTAAAAAGAATGAAAACTCTTGTGATTTAGAGGATTATTTAATATCTAAATCAATAAATACCCAATAGAAAGTGACTGGAAAAAATCTTTAAGAACCTGAAGGATCTTATGAGTTTTGGGACAAATAGTGATTAAAAGAAAATGTAATAAATGAGATAAACAGTGCTGGAATTATTGAAGCAGAAGAGAAGCATCCAAGCATTTTGGGAAGGGAACAATAATGTGATAAAAAAATCACTGCAAAGGAGAAATTTGTGGACATTCTGTTGGAAACAAGAAGGAAAGAGATGGTTAAAGGGAAGTTTCCAGCAAGAGAAGGTAACTGGACAATGTGCAAGAACAAACAAAAACACCTGAACTGGAAATAAAGTCCCACCTCCCTCCTGAGACTGAACATGTGACAGGTGACAAATCCAGGGTTAAAAAGCCCTTTTTGGTTCCAGAATCACAGTTTGCACCCATATCCCCACTGTTCCAGTCACACAGGCACAAGAGCCAACAGGAGGCTCAAAAATCAGTTTTTCCACCAGCATTTAAAGTCTTGCCCTGCTTTGCTGGGATCTGCTAATGCCCCAAACCCCAATAAATTCCCATCAGCTGCAAGTCACCAGTTTAATCATTGCCAAACACACTGAAAAAGTCATTTTTTTTTTACCATAGTTCCATAATTGCTTCTTTCTGTGTGTCCAAGGCCTTCACTCATGTCTGCTAAGTTGGTCAGGCTGCCCCCATGGATGCCATTGAGGGCTTCATTGTACTCCTCGATGCTCTTGGTGACCTCCTGCTGGCTCTCCTGCAGCTGGGACAGTTTATTTCTTGCCTGAGAAGAAAAATTCTCATTGACCATGTTGTATTTTCCTCCCCACCAGAAATGAATTTTTCACTGACACACACTGGGAATAAACCAGCCCAAAAAAAAAAGGTTTATTTCATGAGCCAGCACTTGTTTTCTTTTCTAAAAAAAAAATTATTTTTCCAGCATTACAAGCAGCAAAAAATTGCAGAAACCACAATGAATACCTGGTTTATCTCTTCCTGGGTTGATTTTAAAGATTTGATTATTGTTTCAAGCTGCACTTTTCCAGCCTGGATACTCTGCTCTAGCTGAGTCTCTTCCTGCTGCAGGCGGTTCAGCTCTGCTTTTGCTCTGTTAAGGTCATCTTCCTGTAACTTTAAATCTGATTCCTGAGATTGAATCTGCATTTTTAGTGATGAAATCTGGAAGAAAAAAAAAAAAAAAGAGTGAAATTTGAGATAAATGTAACTTATTAAATGATGAATTCATAATATAAATAACAGAAAGTTGTAAAGCAATCTATCAATTGTTAAGGAAAAATAGTTAGAACTTAATACAATGAAATGCTGCTTCTGATGTTGCACAAAATGCACGATAAAAGCACAGCCCACAAACCCAAGAAACACTATTTTAATTCACAGAAGCACCACACTGATTACACAGGTGATGAACAGGTGTCTCTTAGGTGGTTACCTTGCAGTTTGCAGAACCTGGCCCCTCTTCCATTCAAACATTTATCAAGAGGCAGGAAGTTGATTTTTATAAGAGTTTAAAATTACAGAGCTGCTGATACATTTCTTCCTTCCCCACCTGCTCACAACGTTCCACACTAAGTTTCTACTTTAAGGTGACCTGCTGTTTCCATTGACAATTGTATCTCCCTGAAAAAAAAACACTTTTAACCCAATCCTGATGACATTCAGAGGCTCAAAACCTGCACCACTGCCAGGGATTGTCTCTGATGCTTTTCCACAGCCTTGTCAGGTTGAATAAATGTTTTCTACATTCTCAGAACAACAATTTCTGTAGAAAGAGATGCCTGGAGATCATGTGCCTTTAGGACCACAATGAGAGGTACATTCAGGTGAGCAAAATCCTTCCTTGGACCTCTGTGTTGGTGTGGAAATCGCTATTTACACTCAAAATGAGCAGAGAAAGGGAGTTTTTCCATTAAATAAACAGCATTTCCTCCAGCCAGGAGCCTGTTGGGCACGCCCAGAATTCCACACACTCACCACCTGTGTTTCCTCCTGGCATTTCTGCCTGACATCACTGAGCATGTCCTTGAGTTTGGCTTTCTGCTGGTCCATCTCATCCAGCCTGTCCTGGGCGTCCTGTTTCTGAGCCTCCAGCTCCTGCAAGGTGCTCGTCTCCCTGTCCAGGTCATTCTGCAGCTCCTGAGGAAAAAAAAATCCCACAGTTCAGAGCTCAACATTTGGAGGAATGTTCAAGGAATGCTCGAGGAATGAGCAGGTTTGTAAAATCCACGAGATTTTCTACAGTCCCTGCACGTGTTTTATTTCTGCAGGGATTTGTGTGAGACATCAGGAAATAAATCAGAGCACGTGGAATTGAGTTATATCCTGATTATCAAACCAAATACTCTGGAATAATGTTTTCCTAATTTACAGCCTTAGTTAAGCACTAAAAAAAAACCCTTTTAAATTGCTCACATATCATCTTCTGTTTGTATTAATCAGCATCAGATGAAAGAATTTTATTTTCCTGTTCTCCATCAGAAATGTTTTCTCTAAGTCAGAGGAAAAACCCATGAAAGAAAGAAAGACAGACTTGCCCAGCAGCAACATAAAGACACCAAAAAAAAAAGCTTAATTCCCATATATTATTGGGATTAAAATGAAAGCTACCAAGGAGAAACAAAAGATTTTACCTGAACTTCGTTGGTTTTCTGTCTGATTGATTCTTCCTTTTCCCTAATGTCCTGCTCTAGGGAGTATTTTTCTCTGCCAGATAAACAAGCACATGCATTTATTATTAGTTAAATAATACATCACACACAAAAACCAATTAAACATTATTCTGGAAACACCACGTAGCTAAAAATGCCAGTACATATTCCCATATATTTTTTAAAGGAGTAAAGGTTTATATGTATCAATTATTACTATCTGTGGCCATAATCAATGTCCTGAAGTAGAATCCAGGCTGGCTTTGCATAATAAGATATCAGTGGGAGATTTGTCACCAATTTCAGTGACAAATAAAGTGGCTAAAAGAAAACTGACACATCAGTACAGGAGATTAATTTGGTTATTATTCAAGATTCTGTGAGCAGTCCACAGCTTTACCTCTGCAGCTGAGCAATTTCCTGACTGATGTCATCCAGCTCTTTCACCCCTGTGAATTCTCCTGATCCAACAGAACTTGCACTGTCCTGTTAAGAATAAAACAGTCAATTAAAATGCTGGGGACAGAGGGTGGGATATAAAATCCTCAGGATATGAATCTGCAAAGTGCCACAAGACACACCAGATGATTGTGCAACAAGCAGGACATGCCACACTTCCAGCTGAGGGACATGCACAGTGGCAACAGATGAACTGCAGGCTGTGGGAGAGTTAAAATTAAAATTCCAGATCTAAAACCCAGTTCTGCTACAGCCAACAGGAGAGTAATGACTGGGATTTCGGTCTCCTTGAGCCCTGCCACGAATTCATGGCAAGTTCTGCAATTCTTCAGGTCTTTTAGATCTTGTCTTTTAGAGAAGACTCAGCAGTTATTAAGAAAGGATCTCAGTATTAGGTACAACATTGGTTATTGTTATAAAAAGATCTGCTCTGAGAAACCCCAGCTGAGCAAAAACTGCAGCCCTGAACTCCCTGTTAGCACGAAAAAACAGATCTCCAATTTTTAAATAGCATTTTAAGAAGAAGAAAGCACAGTTTGTTTGCTTCGCCCACCTTGAGGCTGCTGTGATAACCACAGAAAGCTTGGCTTTATTAAACACAAAAAAACTAAGCAAGAACCTGATCAATAAATCAAGATCAGCAGACTAAAAGGTGAACAGGTGAGTATACAGCTTAAATAATTAAACTAAATTGAATTAAATCCTCATTTTGGGCGATCATTTCTTTTGCAATATGCCACTATATAATAATCCATAAATAAAAATAATCCAGACTAATTCTTCAAGGTGGCAAATCAAAAGTTTCTAATATCACTTTGATTTTGTCAGGCCAGGTAGAGGTTTGCTGAGAGACCTGCACTGAATGCTGGGCAGGGTCACAGGGAGGTGTCCACCCAACATGACCATGAAATAAGTGAAATAAGTGAAATAAGTGAAAATGAGCTGCTGCATTGCTCAGGATGAGAACCACTAAATAAGCTCACTGAGCTCAGCTGATTTCATGTTATGCTCAGCTAAACACACTTGAAAAAAGAACTCAAGGAGCAGAGCCAGGCAAAGGTGGAGACACAAAGAAAGGCAGGTTCTGAAGTCACCCCCATCCCCTGGGGTGCCTCAGTTACTCACACGGCGCATTTCTGGCAGGGCCGAGATCTCAGCTCCTACAGGGGTCAAGTAACCTGCCAGGGTCTACAGGGAAAGGACAAGGAGAAACCTTAAAAGGGCCACAGCAACAGCAAGACAGCAAGAGGTGAGTTATTTACAGCTCCAAAAGGCTGCTGGTTAGGGGGAGTAAAGCAAGAAGGAAAGAAAAATACAGCGTAGAGTAGAGAAAAGGTGAAGGTGTTGACGGGACAGGAGTGTTTGTTCATCTCACTGCCAGAAATTCTCTGCTGAGGGAAGGAATAAAGGGTTTAGCAAAGGATCAGATGCTGCAGGGAGGTGGATCCATCCATCAGCAGTGATGGAGGCAGGACTGGGGACTGGCATGGCACAGGGATGAATCCCAGGACTAGCAGTCAGCACTCTTCATTTAGCCATGACAAAATTCCTCACTAGAGGAATCTGGTGCTGAGCACAGGCTACTCAACCAGCTTTTAATATTTGCTGGTATGAGTTCCCCAGGGTTAAAATTGGATATAGAAGAATATATTATCATTTATACATTAAATAAAAATATAAGTGTTCAATTTAAAAATTCTTTCTCTATGACAAAGGAGTGTTTTTCATGCTAGGCTTTTTTCAGCACTGAGACTCCTTTCATGGAATGATTTTATTTTATGGAATATTTTACTGCATTTTTCTTCACTATCAGTCTTGTTTAAAAAAATTTACAAATATTTTCAAAAGTTAAAGAAAAAAAATATTAAAAATTCCTCCTTAAAGCCCATTTCAAAGCACATCAGCTCGGTGTTATCTGCAAATAATCACTGACTCACCTGGAGGGGAGTGTTCCTCTCCGTGGGGGGGATCATATCTGGGGTTAACACTTGGGGAGGATCAATCCCTTTGCTGACCTTCTGCTGGATGAGATACATGGCAAGTGCAAACTGGTCCTTGCTGAGCTTCCCCATCTGCCTCGTGTCTGCCAAAGCCCTGGGAAAAAAAAAAACACATCACCCTTAGAAACAAAAAATTAACATCAGGCCCACAGTTCTGGCTGGAAAAAATAATTATAAAGATACAGGTACTTGGGAATTCTTACCATATATGTGCTAGGAGATTCTGAGACAGACCTGAGTGCATAAAAATGTCCTTCACTTCTTGGCCACTCACAAAGCCGTCCATGTCTGTGTCTGTTTTTAGGAAAATCTCATCGTATCTCACTTTTTCGGACAGTGGCACCACCCAGTTCACAGCTGGCTGCAAAGCAAAGGGGGCCAGTTCAGAAGGAGAGAAACAGCCTTTATCAACACACTGAGCAGATTCATCACCCAGAGCTGGATGCCCAATCCAGTCTGACTGGGAAATAATTATTTTCACTGCGTGGTTTAATTTCATCTTCTATATCTGAATAAAACACTGATAAACAGCTCTTCACCAGCTGAAAAGCATTGATTCTTTGGAAATACAGATCCAACTAGGCATGTTAAGTCTTCATACTAATAACAGGAGATTTAGAAGGTAGATTAATGATTTCTTTGGTATTAAAGTAGATACATGAGTAAAACCTTTCCATGGGTTCACTTCCCATGTAAAGTGAAAATTCCCCCTCTAAGATTTGCCACCTCGTGGTCACCCTGATTACAATTCACCTGTTCTTCTTCCACTCTTCCCAGTCTGATTAATGCTTTCTCTGGCATTAAATTCCTTCAATTTGGTATTAAATTCCTTTGGTATTCCATTCTCCCAGCTCTGATTGTTCTCATTTACAACCCCCAAACCCGAGCGCTCGCACGAGGCAGAAATCAAAGAGCGGGTTTGGTTTTTTTTTTCCCTGCAGTTTTCCTGCCCCAAAAACAAAGAAAAGAAAAAGGAAGATGTGTACCTGGGGTTGTTTGATGCTGTGCTTGGGAGACAAACTGCCTGTGCTGTTCAGGCTGTTGACACTGCCGTGGGAGGGCGTGGAACGGAGGCTGTCTTTGGGTGGGGGGCTGGCAGGGAGGACGGGGACGGCTCCGGGGAACGCCGGCATCTTCTTTCTTTTGGAAGGTGGTATGAGAGAAGGGGGCAATTGTGAAGGGACTGACTCTTTCTCAAGAGCTCTATAAACCAAATGCATTGCCTGCAAAGGCAAAAAGGTCAGATAACATTGACAGTTAGCAGAAAAAAAATAGAGATCTTCCAGTGTCAGTCATTTACATCACAGTAAAACAAAGGTTGTGAGATTAGAGATGGAAACCAGAGCAGGTCGTTTGGGAGGGAATTCCAACAAGTTTAATCTCGATGGCATGGGCAAGAGTCAGGGGATGGATTTGAGGAAGATCATTTAATAGCTCTGTGTGAACAATGCAGATCAGAAGAGTGAACTGAGGCAGAGGAAGCTGCAAAGCCCTTGAGAAAAAAGAATGAGCTCTTTGCTCAGCCAGGCTGGGTTGGGAATTGAGAATTGAAAAGCAAACCTACCACAGCAAATTCATCCTTGTCCAGGTGACCATCTTTATCAATGTCACTGAGATCCCACACCTACAGCAATGAGGATAAAATAACAATTTAGACAGCAAGTTACATTTTGTGCATTCATCAAATTAACATGACTCTAAAGACTCTGCACAGGTTTTGGTGCAGATCATATTAGTTATATTAAACAATCTGAACACTCTCTGATGAATTTTCTGGCCAGTGTGAATCAACACCAGCTCTAACAAATTCTGGTTGCAACACAGGCAGGTTTTTCATCTTTCTATGGTGCAATGAAGGAGTCATCAAGCTGACTATAAGCACTCAGAGGTGGTTTTCTGAACAAGTTATACTTAGATTTTGTAGATAATACAGAGAAAGAGGCAGCTCTTCCTGAAGAGATTGCAAGGATGTGACACAGATACAGCTCTTCCCCAGAATGAATTCATTCTCAGGCATATAAATGTGCAAAGCATTAAAGAATGTGTTTTAAGTGGGAGCAGAAAAAATACTTTCAGGTTTGCTTCCTTGGTAAATATGCAATGGATGCACTAAATTCAGATCTTGGGAAAAAAAAACCAACTTGTCAATTTGACAGGTACAATAAATGAGGATGTTCTGAGGTGTTCTCCTGTACCAGCAGTGGATGGGTTTAATGGGATGTCTAATAACTGCCATTTGTAAAAATGACAAAACAATGGAATACAATGCTATAAAAGCTAATATTATGAAAGTTTGGAAAAGCTTTTCCTTGCTTTTAAACAACCAAAATCAAAAATGTTCAGCTCTTAAAACAAACAGAGATATAATTAAGCCAATCCACTCCAGGGCCTAAATTACTACTGTTACTTTTATTTTAAAGTGGAAGACTTCAGAGACTCAATGTTCTTGCTTGACAGCATGCAATCAGTGCAGAACCTCAGCCAAAACCTCATCTGTGTCGATGAATGACATTCAAATATTTCACACTGCAACCAGGAGAAGTTTAAACAGAGACCAGTAAATGTTTTAACAGCACACACTTACCCTGCCGAGGATATCGAGAGGTAGCTTTGAATTCATCAGTACTGGTTTTACTTTGTCTCCTGAAAGTAAACCATTTACTGGCAAAAGGCTTTCAAAAATACCATCAAACTTTGCTTTTTCTTCCACCTAGTTGGTAAGAAATAGTCTGAATAAGTAAAAATGAGTGTCGAAAATGAGACCTTGCAGGGAGTTAAGGCTGGTCAGGGATGTGTTCAGCCTAAATTTCCGAAGCTTTCTTGCAAGTGCCACGGTGCTCCACTCAAATGTAAACCCATGGAGAGAGATTTAGGAGCTTAATTTCAAAGCTAAGGTTATTTTACAGCCTTGGATGAGAGATTTTACCATGCAGCAGCCAGGATGTGTTTTTGTTTTAAAGAAACTTCGATAAACTCCGTGGAACTAAAACCTCTTCTTCCCACTTGGAAGCACAACACGTAAGTCCAAAAAAATAAGCAGCATTGCAAGTCATTTTATTAAATTTCTACCTTTTGGAAATGTTTGCATTTGAAAATTAACATATAGGCATCATTTTTTTTCCCCAATGATACATATTACATGTATCACTGAATACTAACTAGAACACAGGAACTCGAGCTGTAAATTAATAATTCAGGGTGGATTTGGTGAAATACTTTGCTGTTCTCAGTGGGGTTGCTTTATCCAAACAATGAAAATGCCTAATTGTAGGATTCTGGAAGAAATCCAGGCAGAAGATTAAAATTCATTGTGTCTTAAAAACATCCCAGCAGGGGTTGTCAAAGGGTGGTTTAATACTTATTACACATGTCAAACTACACCTCAATATTCTCTGCTGGGCTCAAGTCTGCCCAGAAAGGGAGGATTTCTGAAACAGGAAATACAGTGGATACAGAATTCTCTCACTGGGAAAATCCCCCACAAAGGAAAAGATTCCCTTTTAAAGAATGGCTGGAATGTGTTGTGGTTTACACTTACCCTGACAGCCCAGTGAGTGTCTGTTGAAGGTGGTGTGATCAGCAAAGGACTGCTACTGTCATGCTAAAAAAAGGAAGAATTTTTATTTATGTGTATGTTTATATATATATAAACACACAGACTTGTGTCTCTAATGCTTCCTAATTGCTTTAAGAGGTGTTTATAGACATGAGGTTTAACTACACTGGGGAAAAGAGGCTGTGCCTGAAGAAAAGTCATTTACACTATCACAGCACTTGGATAAGGACATTTATCGGTGCATTAGGTACCCAAACACACAGCAAAGCTGCAGCTGTGCCTTTTACTGCCCATTCCTGCTGCCCCAGCCCCCAAATAACCTTCTTTTCTTCCTTTTTTGGTCGAGTTCAGCCACACCAGCCTCCTGCCCAAGAGTTACACTTGCAAACCCCACCGTGGCAGCGTCCCAGGGAACGCTCTGCCATCGACCTGCAGCCCCACGTGTCTGGAACAGGACATTATTCCAACATTCCAGCTGATTATTTCCCACATAACACATGCAAACATCTGGGGGGATGTCACTCACAAATTTAGGGGGTGGCACAGTCAGGCTGAGGCTGCTCATGTTGACGTCGTGGCCGTTCTGGGCGCAGGCCACGAGGCGCAACGCGACGTAGAAACCCTGAAATAATCCATGGAAAACAGTTCCAACCAGGAAAAATAACCCAGTCCTGGCTTTTCTTAGCACTGTGCATGTGCAACTCAGGAAATCAGGGGTGGGGAGCCCCATAGGGACAACTACAACAATGAGATCCAAACTTCTCCAGCAGCTCACTGAGTAATACACTTAGATATGAGAAGTGCTGGGGAAAAAAAAAAATCCTCATCTTGTCAACAAAAACTCCATTCAAAAAAAGCCAACTATTGTTGGTAGCAGGGTTTGCTTGCAAACAAGGCTCACAGGAACATTTCATTTACCTGTTTATCTAAGTATCCTTTCCCCTCTGGGTCAGCCAAATCCCATATCTGTGGAGACACAAAATGAAAGCCCCTGTGAATTTCAAACAAAACTCAGCTCAACAGTTCCCACTGTGTGTCCTCTCATTCATTCAACTTTCGAGTTATGAGGTGCAATTTTATTTCATTGCCAGGTTAACAACAGAAATGTCACACAAAAGGTAATTTTTTCCTTGTAGATTTGTCCTTTCACTTACAAAAAAAAAAAGTGTACAGACAATTATTGCATTATTCAACCCCTTCCACTCACTTTTCCAAGGGTGATATCAGAGAGACCAGATTTTTTAAGGAACAGAGCAGCTTCACTTGCCCCAACTCTCCCTGTGTATGTTGGATCTACCTGAAAGAGAAAAATTAACATTCACCATGACTGCTGTGGAAGCAGAGATGAGAAATGCAGGGTCTCTAGGTCAGGAGTTACACAAACTGCATCAGCAGGAAGAATTTATCCCTGCAATGGGGAAAGGAGAGAGAGGAAAATCTTGGAGAAGAAGAAATTACTCTTTATTTTTGCCTTTTTTCTTTTAAGAACATACCTGTTTGTAGTAAGTTTCGTATATTGGGTTCCCAGTAGAAAACTGAAATATAAGGCAGAAAACAGAATGAACAGCAATCACAACTGACAGCAAAAAAAGAATTGCACTTGGTGTGTTACTTCAACAAAAAAAATCTAAAATAGGGTGTTAATTTGCTGTCATCCACATTGGATATTGAAATTTAAGTGTGGATAACGGTGATCCCACAAAACCTGCAGCCAACAGGCTGCTGTCACCTCCTAGAACTTCACCAGAATTCCAACTTCTCCTCACACTTTTAATCAACAACTAAGTGGAAATGAGGTTCTGTAGAACAGCTCTGAACTATTTGCCCAAGCATTTCAGATCTCAGCACAAGAACTGCTGATGACAAAGGCCCAGTTCTGAGCCCAGTGCTGACCTGACTCCCCCTGCACTGGAAACATCCTTATGGAATATTTCCAGCAGGCAATTTTATCCACACACACGCCCACCAAGCTCTGTGCCTGTGATTTAGGCATTTTCAGGATTAGGATCTTAAACTGAAACAGAGTAAACCCAAACCAGAATTACCAGTGAATTGACAGTGCCACAATTCCCTGACAGTGCTGGGGGGGATTTCAAGCTGCATCCCAGCACAGCAGCAGACCCCAGGGAGGCCCTCCACAAGTAGATTGCTGACACTCTTGCTGACATCCCAAGCAGATAGGAATTGAAGTGCCAAAAGAGGCAGAATTCCCACCCAAAAACCCATCTTCTCACCTGCCTCCTCCAACAGCCACAGGAGTTCACGTGCAGGTTGTCCCTGCACACTGATCTGCAGCCTCAGTGCCAACAGCAAAATCAACCCAGGCAAAACCAACTTAGAGGCCTTAAAGAGCAATCAATCAACCAACAAAACAACGCCACAAACAGCTTAATGAGCAAAATGCTGAGGTGTCACAACGCCCCAAAGCCTGCCTGAGACAACCCCTCTGCACCTCCAGGCCACCAGTGAGACACCTGGCAAAGGAGTGTTCCCAACTAACTCCCATCACTGGGATGTCACCTCCCAAATGGCCTCCCTGTCATCCCCACGCATTTCCAGATGTTCTGCCCACTCTGAGTGGAAGGAAGGCAGAAACAGGATGAAGGAAAAGCCCACTAAAATTGTATTTGACACCAAGAGAACCTTGCTGGGAATTTACAATCAACATGCCAAATATTAATTTAAGGAGCCACCTGAAAGAACTAAACCCTCCAACTGAGCACAAGCAAACACTGACTCTTGGAGGATTAACAGCTCTATTTGGATAGGAAAATCCTGCGTTTTCAGAACAGTTTCCTAAGCATCTTAAATGTGCTTCACTTCTATCCATTCTCTAATGTCAGCAAACCTCTGGAAGCTCCTGAAGGGTGGACAGGATTTCAAAAGAATTCCTGGACCATAACTCATAAACCTGACTGTTCTTTCTGCTGACATGTAAATGTCCTGCCCAGGCAGCAAACACATCCTTCAGAGAAAAGGTGCAAGGAGGAAATAAATAGTCTGTCCCAGTCTGAATCCAACCATCACCAAACCTTGTACCTCTTGTTTACCAGAGAGCTCAGAGAAGACTCAAACACCAACCCCAAGCTCCTCTGACTGATCTGATGAGTGACCCAGAGCGACTGGACTCGTACCAAGAGACTGAGCAAACCACTCCAGCAGCAGCACTGAGTGATCTCACCCATCACCAGACATCCCTGTCACCCTCATTTGGGATTGCCAGCCAGGACATGGAGCTTGAGTTGCCTGGCAGAAGTGGCAGGAACCTCCCCCAGGGTGATGGAAGTTTCTCCCACAGGGAAATATTCCCCCCCAGGTGCTGCTGGGAAGCCCTTCAGCACTCGATTCCCTGTTTGCAGAATTTCCCATGGATTCAGCCTCTCTCTCTCTGGTTGATTTCCCCAAATGACTGCACCTCTGTGATGAAGCAGACCAGACAAAATGGGTTCAAGTGATAAAAATAGCACAGCTCCCTATCTGCCCGTCGGCACCGCACGTGACGACACCGCTATCACTCAGGAGGATCCTGCAGGTTTGGTGGCATCTGCTGAGGCAGGACCTGCCCGAGGGCTGCCAACCCTGGCAACCAGGGACAAACACTGGGGAAGAGTTTGCAGCTGGCCATGTCAAAGCCCAACCTGTCAGAGGGGACTTACAGATTAACCACCTCTGGTTCCTGTGCCTGCTCCGTAGTCCCCAAAACCTCATCTGGGCCCAGCACTTCCCACCAGCTCCCAAAAAGATCCTCCTGGGGCCTTGTTGTTTGTTCTGCCAGGTGGATTTCCTGCAGAAATGTGAAGTTTAAGTCTCGCAGCAGATCCAAACACCGCAGTCGTGGTTCACACACATGGACACTGATCCAAGTCCCCTGGGTCTGGGGGAAAGGCAGGAGGAAGCTGCTGCCACCAGCACAACTCACACATCCAGTTCTCTTTCCTGAGGTCACCCCAGGGCCACAAAGAGCTCTGGATCAGCTGAATTATTTTCCTTGGTGTCCTCCTCTTCGAAACTTTCCTTTCAGCCACATGGATAGGTGAAAACAGGGAGTGTAACAGGGGAAAACCAAGGTGTTCACAGAGACAAGAGCCAAAAGAAGGTGCTGCTGCCCCAAAAACATGGCTTTAACCTTATGCTACTCGCTAAATGCCCTGAGTTATCTCAGAAACCTGAGCTACAAAAGGATCCCAATATCCCTAAGATAACTCTCCAAAACCTCCTGAGCTTGCAGGTTGAATGTGCTTGGTACAGTGGGAACACCACTGGAAAGGTGAACAAAGTTATCAAACATAAACAACTGGAACTGGACTGAGCTCCAAGAACTGATGTGACAGCCCTGCTCTTCACCTGGGTTCATGCACAGCCAGAGAGATGAAATATTAAATGGAATATAAATAGTATATAAACCCAGAATGGGTTGGGAGGGACCTTAAAGCTCATCCAGTGCCACCCCTGCCATGGGCAGGGACACTTCCCACTGTCCCAGGTGGTTCCAACCTGGCCTTGGACACTTCCAGGGATCCAGGGGCAGCCACAGCTTCTCTGGCCAACCTGTGCCAGGGCCTGCCCACCCTCCCAGCCAGGAATTCCTTCCTAAAGCAAAGAATTCCTTCCTAACACCATTAAAATGATAAATTATTAACGACAAAAATATGATCAAACACTTTCACAAGCTGGAATTACCCCTGTTGTTTATAGCTCCCAACATGCTGAAGTCAATATTCTTGTTTTAAATCTTTCTGTGTGGACATATTTCAACATACAGCACATGTGCCCTCTCCTATTCCTTGTAATTCAATTTCTGGCATTTACAGTAACCAGCACACATCTCCTTAGTAATCACCAAACTGAGGCTATTAAAAGAGGAAGTTTGTTAATGTCCTCTTTTAGTTCATTAAGAGAAATTCTGTTTACTGCTCTGTTACAGCCAGACTACTCTTGACAGTTCAGTACAGAAAAAGAAGTTTAAAATCAGAATGCTTCCACTGAAACCACTGGAAAATAATGACACGCAGCAAATTATACATTATCCAAGCATCACACTCCAATGAGAGATAAATGTTCAAATTATCCCAAATAAAAGGCCATTCTTAAAAGGAAAACGATGTCTTTAAATAATCCGAACTACTAAGAGCAGTTGTTCTGAATTCCTGACCGGCCTAGCACAGTGTAGAAAATAAGTTTTAATTCTGAGGCATCGAGGGTGGCATCGCTTTAAAAAGGAAACAAGTAAACCAGCTCTATTCCCAGCGATATGGAAAAGAATAAACTGCTTCGGTTGGAATTATTTGGGGGGAGAAATTAATGTAAAAAAAAAAAACCAAACAAAGTAAAATAAATAAATAATAATAAAAACAAACAAACAAAAAACCAAAAAACTTGTAACAACAAAAAATCAGCGCGGGGACCCCAAGCATCCAAAGAGAGATGGAAAGAGCCCCTTCCCAGAGCCTCGTCACCCTCTCCCAAGGGGCAGGGGATGTGCCTGGTCCTGACCTGCTGCTGGACGGGCGAGCAAACACCTCCTGCTCGCCCCGCAGCCCCTTCCCGGGGTCCCCGCGCCCCCAAACATCCCCCCAGGCTGTCAGTCGCGACCCCCTGTCCCGACAGCCTGGGATACAGCCACGACAAAGGGGGTGACTCGGGAAAACGCCCCGAGCCCCCCGTTCCCTGCCTCCCCCACGGGCGCAGCTCCAGGCCCGCCGTGAGGGGAGAACGCCCTCGCTCCCCCCACACCCAGCCCGGCCCTGCCGAGCCCCGGGGACACCGCGGGGGCCGCCGCGCCCCGCCCGGGTCCCGCTGCCCCTCTCTGTCCCCCCCAACCCCTCAGGCCGAGCCCCTCCCGGGCACAGGGCCCTGCACCCAGCGCCGGCCCGGCCCGCGGGCAGGAGCCGGTGGTGCTCGCCTCGGCCGCCCGGGCGGGCTGAGCTGAGCCGAGCCGAGGCGAGCTGGGCTGAGCCAGGGCCGCGGGCCGGTACCTGCTGGCTGAGGGGGATGAGCGCCGCCATCTTCCTGCCGCTGGGTCGGGCCGCGGCCGGGGCGGGGCGAGGGGCGGGAGGCGCCGGCTCTGCCGGGCCGGGCGGTCCCGGGGGCGGCTGAGGGGCTGAGGGGGGAGCCGGGACCCGCCGCGGCTTCAGCGGGCTCCGTTATCGCGGCCCGGCAGGCGCTGCCCGCCCGCGGGATCGGCCGGGCTGGGAGCGGCCGCCGAGGCGATGGCGGGTCCGGCCCGCGGGAGGGAGGAGATCGCGTCCCTCGGGCACCTCCGGGGATGGTGAGTGCAGAGCTGCCCGGCCACTCGCGGAGGCACAGCAGGGGTCAGGTTGGAAGGGACCACTCGACCCCGTCGTCGTGCCCGTCCCCGACCGCGCGGCACAGGATTATTGCCCTTTGGAATATCTGCAGTGAGGGAGACTCCGCGCAGTCTCTGGGCACTCAGCTCCAGTGCACAGTTCAGAGGTTCTTCCTCGTGTTCGAGTGGAGCTCCCTCGGCAGCAGTGTCTGCGCATTGACTCTTGTCTCACTGCTCAGCACCGCCGAGCAGAGCCCGGTCCATCCTCTGTCACCAATCTTTAGATATTTATACAGTCTATTCCAGTGCCTGATCACCCTTTCTGTGAAGAAATTCCTCCTAAGGGCACTCTGCCAGCTGCCTCAGCCATGTGGGCAAAGCAGGGCCGGGGAGGGCTTTTGGGTGCCCTTGGAATGTTCTTCTATTCAAGGCACTGATCGACCTTTAGGTGGATGACCTGCACCCAGCTTTCTGCTGGGCAAACCCACTTGTGTTACCTCATTACCCTAAAACTTGTCAAAGCAGCCTTCACCCAAAACAAAGGTCCTTCACCCAATGAAGGTCCTTCACCCAATGAAGCTTCTTCTGGCCTGGGATCAAATGTTTTGGCGTCAAATACGCCAAAGTTAACAACCCCTTGACCGCAGTGTGTAATCCTGAACAGCAGCCTGAACAGAAATCCTGCTGAACGACTGGATTAATTCCCGCATCAGGAGGTTTGGATAAATCCCGATTTATCGGCCCCGAGGCATGCTGGGAATTGTAGTCGGCGCCTCCGGGGCTGGCGGCAGTAAACCTGCTTGGGATTGGCTGGCGGGGTGAGTGGAGCCAATGAGAGGGCGGGATGTTGGGGAGTGCCGGTCTCCAGGATACGGCCGCCCTGGGCCGGGCCCGAAGGAGCCGCCACCTCCTCAGGCCGGGCGGTCCCGGCCCGTCCCATTCCATCCCATCCCATTCCGTCCCCGTGCCGTCCCATTCCATCCCATCCCATCCCATTCCGTCCCCGTCCTGTCCGGGATGGCCGCCATCGCTCGGGCCCCCGCTGGCCGAGGGCAGGTGAGGCGCCGGTGCCTCAGCTCGGTCCGTTCCCGGGCACGTGTGGGGAGGGTCAGGTTGGATTTCAGGAGGAATTTTTTTCCTGGAAAGGGCGGTCAGGCGTTGGAAGGGACCGCCCAGCGAGTCATGAAGGTGTCAAAGTGGCCGTGGCACTCAGTGCTCTGGGCTGGGGACAAGGTGGGGGTCGGGCACAGTGGGGGGGTACTCGATGATGATCCGGGAGCGCTTTTCCAACCTGGGTGATTCTGGGATTCTCGGCAGGGACACGGCAGGACCATCCCGGCCGGGCTCGGGGTGGTGGACACGGAGCTGGAGGCGGCCGGGAGAGCCCCGTGGGGCCCGGGCAGGTTCCTGAAGGGGCGCGATGGACTCGCCCGTGGCAGCCGGCAGGGCCCGGCGCTGGCAAGCACCGCGAATGCACACGGAGCCCACGCGCGCTCCAGCTCCGTCCTCAGCAAAGTGGCTCAGCTGGAAAGCAAGATCATGAGCCGGAAAAAGCAGCTGGAATCGCAGAACACTGACCCGGGCCTGAAGCTTCTGCAGGAAGAGTCCTCCTCATCATCATCCTCCTCCTCTGCCTCAGGGCACGAACGCCGTGCCAGGGGCAAGAAGTACCTGAAGAATTGTGGGACCCGCAGGGATGGGGGTTCTGAGGGAGAGGAAAGCACCCAAAGCCCTAAAAGGAGCGTTCAGGTTAAACAACAGCTGGACCTGGATAGCGATGAAGAGGAAATGAGAGAACTGATGGAGAGCTCCTTGGGGTTTCCCAGTGGAAATGGGAGTCAGAAGGCTGGTGGTAGATCGAAAGGTAAATACAAACTTTGCTGGATTATGTATTTCCATAAACACTTTATTATAGAGTTGTTTTAATTGGTTGGTCACTTCTTATTTAGATAACACCAGAGACTAAATTTTAAATTTGCATTTGTGGCTTGCTCATGATAGGATTCAGCTTCACTTCTTGACACCTTAGAACAACATCTTAAATTACTCTTATTTTACCCATAATGATTTGTTTTCCCTTTTAGCAGCCTAAACATAATAATGAAGTTAACACTGAAATCTTGTTTTTCATGTTCTTCAAAAGAACAAGACTCCAGTTGCATCAGGAAGGCCTCCTCTGTCTCATAAGGAAATTGCACCAACAGAGACACCTAAAACATCTTCTTTTCACAACAAAGACTCACAGGAAAGTGTTTTTAGTGGAGTTAATTCACCAGCACCTTCACCCAGCAGCAGAAACCTGTCAGGACATACCAGGAGATCTTCCACGAAAGACAACACTGTCAAGGTTGCTCTGCCTAAAAGAGGCTCCACCAAACAAAGCCAGGAATCTCTTGGAAGTGACAGAAGTGAAATAAAATCATTAGATGAATTATTCTCAGATGCAGAAGATCCAACCAGCAGCAGCTCAAATGGTGAGTGTTCTAAAATACTGTCTCGAGGAGACCTGGCATGAATTGTACTGATAATCTGATAAATTCACTGATAAACAGGGCAAGTAATCACTTTGAAAGGATTCACTGGTGAAATTTTACATCAGCCAAGGCCTTCTCAAAGCAATTATGTAGTTCTGTTTCTTTTTTCTAAAGATTTAGAGTGTTTGGTTGCTGTTACCTTTCAATATTACACTTTAAACTAGGAAGGTAACACTGATTTTTTTTCCCTCTCTTTTCTCATTTAAGGGGAAGTGTGCTGTAACTTTCATGCAAATTCTCGTGTCAACGTGTCATTTGATTGCAGATTTCAGGCTGAATATCCTGAGCCTCGATGATTTGGCCCCCGATATCCCCACTGAGGCAGCAGAATTAAAGCAGAAGGTGAGTAGGAATTCCCTACTAACACCTATTCCCAGTCTGCCTCTGTTGGGTGGAGGATCTAAAATAACTCATTTTACAGGGGAAAGACACTGGAATGACTCAAGAATCAAACAAAGATGTGATAATGGAAGAGGAGCAAGGTTCTTCTGAACTGCCCAACACAGCAACTGGTGGGGATGCTGGAAAAAGTGTCACTGAAGCCGAAATCTCTGAGCACTTAAGTGGAGCTTCCACAGATCCCAAACAGGATTCTCTTGATGAGGATGAGAGAACTCTTAATTCAGAATACTCTGAAGACTTTGAAAGCTCTCTGTCTCCAGCAGACAGGCCCTCTGTGTCTGGAGGGACAGAGGGACACCCTGAGGGACACCCAACCTCAGCCTCGTCCCCGCTGGGCACCCGGGAGCGCCACAAACGAGGGCACCGAGTGACTGTGAGGGAAACTGGGGTTCAGACAGCAGAGCCCCCCTTCTCCTACTGCTGGGCAAAGGGTGAGTGCAGAGCTCTGCTCTGTCAGGCAGCTTTTATTACACTTTTATAAAAATGTCAGCCCACTTAGTTTTAGTTTCGGTGCCAGCTCCTCCTTGCTGGTGCCCAATTAAAAAGCTTTCAAAGCCCAGCACTTCAATCTGCTGCCCACAGAAAAGCTTGAGATTGAATGAATGTCATGAGAACTTAGAACTGGTTTTTGCTTTAAACCCTCCCCCCCTTCCAGGACCTGTTGCTGGGTGAGTGTTGGTGACAAAGCTCACAATAGCACGAGTAATAACTCTTCAGTGGAATTCACCACTCTGATACCTTTACTATTGTAAATAAGAGCACTGTAGTGTTACTGAAGTGATTGCTCATGGATCAGCTGTGACCTTTCCCATTCCCGAGGGGGAGCTCCCAGCCTGGCTCTTTATTTCAAGGAAAAAGCCCTGAGGGCCCCTTCTTGCCCCACTCGAGGAGGAGAAAGTAGAAACTCAAGTGTGCTTGAAAACAGGAGCTGCTTTTGAGTGCAAAAGCCCTTATTTTTACTCTGCCTAGGGCTAGAAAAGATGCCTTTTGCAGTGGTAGGTGTTGTGAGTGGAAGAGTAAACAAACAGTGGAGGTTGTAGAACTATTTCAGTTGTATAACCATTTTTCTGGCTGACAGAATTCCCTGTTAGGCTCTACAGTGGGTTTAGGGCTGTTTGGGGGTTTTCCAGGCTTTCTTGGGCAGCTGCTGTCCCAAGAGACTGTCTGAAGTTGCAGCACTAAACCTTTCCAGCCTCTCCCCCATAACCCTGCTGTTTCCTGGCACAGCAAACCCCTCTGCAGTGCTGAGCCCGCCTGTAGGAACCGGCTACGTCGACCCAGTGCCTATCGCCAGTCACGTCATCAGCACGGATGCAGTAGAAGGTACCCAAAAACATCTCCACCCTCGTGTCTGATGTTGTCCCCTGTCCCTGAGCCGTGCTTTGAGCCTCACCAGAGCCCCTCCTGCCCCTTCCCCCCAGCCCTGACTGCCTACAGCCCCTCTGTGCTCGCCCTGCACTCCATGTGCAAGCAGCACCTGCTGCTGACCCAGCGCTTTGTGGAGAACGTTCAGCACCTTCACTCGGCCCTGGTGGAGTCCTTGGAGCACGAGAAGTTCCACTACCACAGCCTGGAGGAGGCCAAGGAGGTATTTACGACAGACTGAGCAGATCCTCCTCTCCAGGTGCTCCTGGTATCTGCAGCAGAGCGAGTTCCTTTGCATGTTATTAATTAGTAAGTCGTGGGGTTTTACTGTGCAAAGGTTGAAGTCTCGCTGGAGGCCACAGTTTTGAAAGATGAAGCTTTGCAGCAGAAGGGGCACTTGCTGGTGCTAGCACAGCAAAGTGCAGGTACCTCCCAGGTATCAGCATGGAGATTTATTATTTATTAAATACTAGAAAGTAATTATTTACCTAACAAAGAAATTTGTGTCTTAACTTTTTTTTTTTTTTTTGCAGTACATCAAGAATCACAAATCCCCACCTCTAACACTTGAACAAGCCCTTGAAGAGATTCAGAGAGCACAGGAGGAGTAACTTGCTTTGACTCTTTGAACTTGAACTTCTATATTTACAGCTCTAAGGCTGGAGCAAGAAACCCTTTCAACTTGCACAGATAAAAAGTGAATACACTGTGAACTGGAGGGATTTGTACAAACTGCTAATTAGGATATATAATTTACTTTTCTATGCCTGACTTTTTTCCTCATGTACATGATACAGGGATAGGCAGGAACCTTCAGCCAGACTGTACCAGTAAAAAAACCAGCAAAACACTTCTCTCTAAAGGAACTGTGGTAAGTCAGCAGGGGTACATGTTTATGGTGTGGAGTGTGAGATCTGTGATCACATCTGTGATTGTGGTAGAAGTGAAAGTCTGTAACTGCAGCCCCTGAGCAATGTAACCACAGCAGAAAATTACCATATCCTGACTTCAGTGCCATTATCTGAACAGTGTTTCTACAGAATCAGCCTTGTCAGATTACAACCAACCCAAAACACACCCAAAGTTCAAATAAATTCAAGGAAGGCTTCTAGTCAAGGTACAGGAATCCATTTACTCCGAAATCTGAGCTGCCATTTCATTTTTTTATTTAAAAAAAAAAAAAAAAAAAAGGTGTTTATTGGAAGGCAAAACAATAAAACTTCACAAGTTGGTAACATACAGGTGGTGTATGCTGATTCACAGACAGGTACAGTTCCACAGCTACAGCAGATCTAGAACAAACTGATATTCCACCACATTAACTGGATGGTTTGAAGAGGGTTTTTTTGTTTTTTTTTTGCTCTACAAACAAACAACTGGAAAAGGGAACCGCCACGCAGACCTGGGGACTGGGAGTGCAGTGGAAGGGCCTAACAGCTCTAGCTGGAAACAGTTGCAAAAGGTTCTGTTTCTTCTCTCCTTTGGATCACAGGGGAAGTTCCCGAGAACGTCTCGTTGATAGAAACGTAAAAGAGAGCAGAGAAAATGGAATTCTCTTCTAGTGAACTAATTGGCTTTTATTAAAGGGTTATGTACAAAAATATAAAAAGCTCCAAGACTGTGTCCCGTTACAAAGCATCGCCCAGCCCTCAGCGAGCTGCCCCTCGTGTCCTGCCCAGGGGGGGCTGCAGCAGCTGCTGGGGGGGCCTGGAGGTGGCTGGAAGGTTCTAAAAGCTGGCACAGTGCTCAAAGGTCACCTGCACTGGGTCTAGATGCTTCATTCCCCACTTTAGACATTAGGATACACTGCTCAGCATCAGTCTGACTTGATCCCAAGGCAGCACCCCTTCCACTTCAAATAGAATTAACCTTTTGAGAGAAATAAACATACATTATGGAACTGGAGAACATGCAACCACATCAGAGAACTTGTGTATTCCACAGGGATGAGTGGGGCACAATCCTGCACCAGGGACACACTGACTGGAGCTCAGTTCTAGTATAAAACTGGGAACTAATTTAAAAAAAAAAAATTTTGCAAGATAAATGGAAGTTTTTAAACTTGCTAGACATGTCATGGTAACAACTGCCAAGTGTTGAAGTACATGTCATAGCTTTCCATTTTTCCCCATAGTTTTAAGTAAAAGTAATTAATTTTGTCACTCCCTCCAGACTTTAATCCGGATTTTGACAAGTTTAATGTTTTGTAGAAGATGCAAGACATCTTTCTTCAGAGAGTCTTATTCGGGTGGTGGAGGGTCTTGTGTTTCACGTTTCACTGAAACAACAGGGAAAAGAGTTCTTACACATTCCACAGTCACCTGAGCTGCCTGAAATGTTTCATGGAATGAGGGCTCTGTAAGAAGGAACTTCTTGTGAGCTGTATTTGAACCCATCTGACTGCACAGATCTACTGCAGCCAGAGGCAGAAGTGACTTTTTATTGAGCACGTCAATTTTTTTTCCCTTTTAGCCATTGGCAAGGGCAGTTTTTCGATGTATCACAGACTCTCTGCAAAAATCCATCACTTGGGTGATTGTCTTCATCTCTTACAAACACCTCCACTTTTTCTGAACCCTTCCTGCACTACAGGGAGTTTATTACCAGTTCTGGCTTGGGCAGAATGTGGCAGTAAGGCAGGAAAGTCTGAGCAGGGCAGGGATAACATTAACAGTGTGGTCTGAGTTCCAGCCACACAATCTCCCTGCTCTGGCACAGCTCCCCCTTTCTGACTGCTCCCAGTTTCTGAGGGGTAACAATCAAAGATGCAGGTGCTCAGTATTGCAGCCAGGAAGTGGCTGATGTAGAACAAGCTAATTCCTTAATCTTTCAGAAATTAGAATACAACACAAGGCCTAAAAACAACATGCTGGGTCAATCAGAGTACACTGACACTTACCTGTTGTTTTACTGCATCTGTTACCTTACAAAGAACTACCAGTTACTGACATTTTGATTGGGGTTTATAGTGGACAGTAAACAGGACACAACCACTGTCAAGGCCACCCAGGTTTGTGAAGTGCTGAGAAGCATCACTTACATTCATCCCTGGCCTTCATGCGGGCGATGAACGAGTAACTTTTATTTCTCCGGTAGTTCTCGTAAGGATCATCCAACGCAACTCCTACTCCTTTGTACTGATCCCACTTGTCTCGGATGTCCCCTCCTTTAATTGGATCCTGAATTCCTTGTTCCTTGGCTCCCAGCCCACCAGATCCACTCCATCCTGCAGCAAGGACACATTGCAATCCTGTCACTATTTTTTTTATTACTGAGTTGTGAAGTCAGACCAAGATGGAAATTTTGATAGGGCAGGATGGGAACAGGCAGCCCGAAACAACACGTGAACCATCCCATTTACTTCACAAGCATTAATGTGCAAGAGGTTCCAGGAGCTGACAGACAGCAGCACTACCCCTAAAAACTTTTAGGAGGGCAAGAGGAAAGGCAGCACAAGCTCAGCCTGCTCAACCCTGCTGACCTGCACTGAAATACCTCAGGTAGGTCAGTTCTGTCTGATGCCAAACTCACATCCTTGTCTTCCATATCCTTCCCAGAAAGGCAACCACCACTGCTCCATATTCTAAATATTGTATCTCTGACTGTCCTTATGCTGACGTGGAATGCCAAGGGGTAATTCCTTAGGAACATGCCTTAATTGTATCCAGCAGTTCAGTGCCTGGAATTTGTTTCCTGGCCTGTAAGATTCCAGAACAGCATCTTACCCATTTTCACTAGCATTTGATGGCCTTTATTTTCTTCTCCAAGTCTTGATTCTGGTATAGGAGGCCCAGAACTGGAGCCCAAACCAGCAGAAGAACTAAGGAAATAAGAACAAATTAAGAACCAGTGATACCCTTCCAACACAGTGCATGGTCAGTTCTATTCTGTTCAGCTTTAACACCCATCACAATCCCAGTCACTCTACCACGTTATTCCTTAATAAAGCCATTAGATTATGGAGTTACTGAGGTGCTTTTTGGCAGGTGCTTCTCACACCTTTGACACCCCCTGCTTCTCAGCACAGGGGAAACCAAACACCGCACCCTTCCCACGGGAGTCATTCCCAAGGAAGGTGCACAAAGCCCTCATAGTTACACACTGGTTTGTTACAACAAAAAGCCACCACAACAGAGTAACCTTCTCTCTACAAGCACACACAGCAGATAAATTGTTTCTAAATCTGCTTCCCATCTTCTTTCCTGCTCTTTGTTGAAATGCTTATTAATTAGCGAGGCAGTGCCCTTGCTGGGGCTGTTCCCAACAGCCCAGGAAGAGGATCAGGAGCAGAGCTTACGGAGGAGTGGGGCTGCGGGAGCGGGAGCGGCGCCGCCTTCCCGGCGAGTACGACTTGGACCTGGAGCGGGAGCGGGACCGGGAGCGGCTGTGGGAGGAGCGGGAGCGGCTGCGGCTCCTGGAACAGAGAGCACACCCACTTGTCAGAGGCACAACTTACCAGAGCAACGCCCACAGATCCTCGGGCAGCCCCGGGCTGGGCTTTTCCCACCCCCCATTCCCAAGGTCCTGCGCTCTTACCTGGACTGCGAGCGGGAGTAGGAGCGGGAGCGGGAGCAGGAGCGGGAGCGCGACCTCGAGTAGGAGCCGGATGATTTCGAAGATCGGGAATTGGAGCGGGAAGAGGAACGACCTCGGCTTTTAGAGCGGCTGCGAGAGCGAGAGGGCCCACTGCACAGGGAACAGGAGAGAAATCCAGTGAAACTCCTGGGAGAGGCACTGGAAACACAAACCCACTGCTGCTGGTTACACACACGCACTGCAGCCCTGCAGGCAACCCAGGGAAATTTCACTGTGTCAGAAACTGCTTCAGGGAACTGCAGAATGGTTTGGGTCAGAAGAGACCTTAAATCCCCATCCAGTCCCACCCCCTGCCATGGGCAGGGACACCTTCCACTATTCCAGGCTGCTCCAAACCCCGTCCAACCTGGCCCTTGGACACTTCCAGGGATGGGGCAGTCACAGCTTCTCGGGGCAACCTGTGCCAGTTCCATTTTCTGCAGGTTACACAAAAATTCCAGCCCACTGAAACTCAGTCATGCCATGAGCACGTTGCTGAAGGCTCTCCCTCTGCATTTAGCCCAGCTGAACAGAAGGCAGCACACAGGATCTCTCACCTATTTCTCTTCTCCTGACCTTTCCTCCGCCTTGCTCTCATTTTAGCTCTGAAGAATTCGTACAGTCCATTCTGCTCCCAGCCTTCACTGCAATAAATCAACCACACACCGAGCTGTAAATTCCACTTGCACAGCCGTAAACTCCAGTTCAACGGCGACCTTCGGGATTTTCACTGGATTTTGTATGGAACAAAGGGCCTGGGCAAAAGAGCCTCACAAATCTCAGTGGAAGATCAAACAGCAAGTGCAGTTACAACACAACAAGAGCATCAGGAGAACCAAAACAGAGAGAGGCACTTTGAGGTTTGAAACACATTTTCCTTACCCCTACACCTACTCTTACCTGTTTCGAGGCCTGTCATGAGATGGTGGACTATAAAATGCCTCCACTGCAGCCAGGAGCCTCTCACTGGGGGGCATTGGGGGTGGAAGACGAATATCTTTAGGATCTAAAGGTTTATACTCGTGATCTTCAAGCTGCCGGAAACAAAACAAATTACGTTGGTGTCACGTGTCATGGGATGCCTACCTGAGGAGATAAATACCTGAAGAGATAAATACAGGTTCAACTGTGTGGGGACCTCAGATTTCACTCCTGGATTGAAAAAGGATAGTCCAGAAATAAGGGTTGTGCAGGTGAGCCAGTGCTTTGTTGTGCTGTCACCGTGGTGAGCTCTGTGGGAAGAGCCAGCACTGCACGGGTTGGAGCATTCAGTGGATCAGCAGGTGGATAAAAGGGCAGATCTCATCCACCTTTGTGCTAAGGTGGCTGGAGGGAAGCCTGGTGTATGCTGAGAGTAACACCGAGTTAGAGATGGGAGAGGCCTGTCTGTTCATCTCAAACACAAAATGCATGAATGTAAATATCCCCAAAGATGCTGAGACAGACACAATCCCTGTTCTCCATCATTCCTTGTACAGATAACAATTAATAAAACATCTTTGGGAGAATTCTGATTATCAAAAACTAGAACACAGTGGCCCCTCTGACCGCCTGAAAATCACTGGGGATTTCCATTTCCTACAGGCAGGGGTCAGATTTTCTAGTGCAAATTAGTCTTTCACACACATAAGCTCCACCAGTGGCACAAATCACCTGAAAAACATCACCGTTTTCCCCACCTTCTCCCCCTACTCCTGCCCTTACCCCCTCCACAGCTTTGCCTACTGGCTGTGGGATGGGGCAGCTTTGGAATTACACCCACCCACGTTCAACTGTCCCACTGGAAGCGCTTACCTTGACAAGCGGAGCCATCAGCCCAGCGGGCAGGTCGAAGTAGGGCACGTTTGGCACCAGGCTGGGATCGTCGTGGTTCATGTGGGGGGGCCCCTGGCGCCTCATGTGGGGGGGCTGCCCGTTAAACCCGTGGGGGGGAGGCCCAAAATCTGGGTGCTGGGGCCCTCCCCAGGGGGGATGCTCGCTGATGCCAGGGTGAGGCAATCTGTGACCAGGATGATGATGGGGAGGTCCAATTTCTGCAGGGTGGGAGGGTTAAAAGGGTTTTATTCAGCTGGCGAGAAAGGAAGGCGATCAGAGATGGACTTCAATTAGTAAATCGATCCTAAAAACCAATCCTGGCAGGTCCAGCAAAGCACCAGAACTGAAGGACTAATGACCCTGAGATGAGCTCAGCTGGTTAGAGCGTGGTGCCAGGAACATCCAGGTTGAGGGTTTGATCCCTTGCTGATCCTTGTGGGTCCCTTCCAACCCAGACCATTCTGTGATTCTGTGACTTAGAGGCTGGAAGAGGCCCACACTGGTGAATACCTTGCAGTGCATCTCCCTCCACTCTCAAGACAACAGGATCCTTCAGCCCTGAGCCACTGCTTCCTTTGGGACACGCTGTGGTCAAAAGCACCCCAGGAAAGGCACCCTCAAGGACAAAATGTTTCAGAGGCAGCAGAGCAGCTACCGATGGGATCTATTTCTGAAGCTGAGGACACAGCCATGGCTTAGCTTGGACCTGTCATTAGGCCTGTCTCTGTGCCAACTCAACGTATATAAAGGGATAAATATGGCAGGGATTGACTCACATGAGTAGGTGACAAGAAAATACTTTGTTTAAAGAGGCATTTGGAGAAGAAGGAGAGCCAATAATATCCTGTTAAAATAGGGAAGTGGGTGACCAACCACTGATGGAGGAATGCCATGACTGCCAGGAGACCTTGCTGAGCTCAGAGAAAAATGCAAGACTGAAAATCAGAATCTGCCACAGCAGGACCAACAATTTTTCCAGGAGAAGCCAAAACAGCCACTGCCCAACCTCGAGCCGACACAATTTGACTCATTGTCACCAGACCTCAGCACAGTCTGTGTTGTCACTGCTTCACTGCCTTCCTAATTTCAACCATCTGGTTCAGCAGGTCCCTTCCTCCAACAGCTTTACACGAAACAACAGATGTTTTAAATCACCACTACAATCCAAAACCAAGCATCTTGTTCTGAGCTTAACCCTAAACTCCCTCAGGACAAGGTGGGGGGTTTCTCCCTGTTCTTTTACCTCAAGGAAAAAAATAATTAATCTGTACTGGAGAAGTTAAACACAATCCTAAATATATAAACTCTAATCTATTGGTTTTCAGTGGTTTTTTGGACTTGGAGAATTGAGAATCTTTTAAGCTTAAAATAACAACTCCTCCACAGAAACATAATGGCTCTTCTAAACCACTTGTCACACAGAACCACAGTGATCTTTGGCCTTTACACTGATAAGGATCATTCCAGAATAACTGTAACTCCTGCATGGGAATGGAAACTACAGGGGGGAAGGATTACAGCAAACTTCCCGAGGGAAGCAGTGCCTGGCTCCACTCCCAGACATTCCCTGTTCCAGGGAGGGAAGAAACCCAACCAGAAGGGAGAACTGGAGGTAGGGATCACTTCACCACACACTATCAAGCCACACAACGTTAAAGGCAGGTAATTAGAGGGTTTTTCAGTCAAAAAAAAAGAAAAAGAGAAGAAAAAGGGCATGGATGAATGCATGCACAGGGAAAAATCCTTCCAGCCTGTCTTCCTCCATCTACAGAGGGCACAGCTCTCCTCAGCCCTCATCTACAGCCTGATGTGCAGGAGATTAAATTTACAAGCAAATGCTGCTTCTCACCTTTGAACTTCCTATTTTTAAAGTGAAACAGCCACAGCAGAGGTGCCTGGAGAGCTGCTGCCTTGACTTTGGATTACAATTTCTATATCCATCAGGGAAGACTCAAAAAAAGCAAGGCAGCATCCAACTCTGCACGTGTTTCCTCACCGAGTTCTCAGCAGCAGCAGCAGCTTCTTCCCCAAACCCCCAGCACTCCACATTCCTCGGGGGGGGGAAAAAAAAACCACCACAAAGAGTCCACCGAGGACAAGCTGCCACACCCCAAAGCACTCCAGCATTCCCTGGCCCGGCCCACACTTTACCTTGAGGGAAATCCCCCTGGGGGTAATCAAACCGGTGAGGATAAGGAGGCCTTTCAAAGGGATGGCGAGGTGGGAAATCATCCTGCATGAAGCGAGGTGGAAAGCGGTTGAAATTATGCGGATGCGGGGGCTGGTTGAATTGGGGATGTTGCTGATGTGGAGGGAATGGGCCTCGGAAGTGAGGTGGCCGCTGCATTCGAAATGGAGGTTCCCTTTGGCCCCCACCCCATGGAGGTTGTTCGTGCTGGTTGTTCCACGGAGCTTCGAACTGGTTGTTCCAGGAAGGATCAGGCTGGTTGTTCCAAGGGGTCTCTCGCTGGTTGTTCCAGCCTTGATCTCTCTGTTCGTTCCACATCCCTTCGTGGTTGTTGTTCCAGGGGGGGCAGTGAGGTGGTCCCTGGTGGGGAAAAACAGAAGCCTGGTCATTAGGCCATGAAAATAAGGAACACAATAACGATAATCTACCTTTTTAAAGTAAATACAGCCCACAGGCAACGTGCAAAGTGAGAGGACACGTAAATAGAGGGGCTGAACAATTGCAGCTCCAGAGAAAAGATGGGAAAAGACCAAACTTGTTCCTCTTGTCAACCATCACACTGTTCCTATGAACAACTGAAATAGAATTAATACTTTGCTTTTATCTGGGCTCAGAATGACAAAGCTTGGCATTTGAATCTGGATTTTTAACTTTCACAGCTTTTTCACTGCACTTCCACAAGCAAGATGGGACAACCCAAACCTCCACAAGCAAGATGGGACAACCCAAACCTCCACAAGCAAGATGGGACAACCCAAACCTCCACAAGCAAGATGGGGCAACCCAAACCCACACATCTGGTCCCAGAACTGCTTCTTACCTGTTGTTGACCCCATGGTGCAACAGGGTGAGGTTGGTCAAACCAGGGTGGTTTATTTGGGGGAATCTGATCATGAGATCCAGGCCCACGAGGTCCTCCCGAGGCAGGATCCTGCACTCCACTCCCACTTGTGTCATATTCTGTAGAACCAGCCAGAGGCAGCTGAGATTTACCATCATCTGAAACAATTTGGAGGCTACTATAAGCATCAAAATCACATCAAAAGAGCAGCACACCCACATCAGGCTCCAGCTGAATTTATCCTGCAGAAATCTGTTCCTGGGAGGGAGGATTTCTGATCCATTTAACATTCATCTCTTTGGGGGTTATTTTTACATTCAGTCATCAGACTGAAACCTGCTGCAAGGCTCCAAAACAGGTTCAGGTTCCCCCTTGAACCAAACCAGCACAGCCCCAGTGCCTCATTACTACAAAATGAACCAAAAATCCACCTCCCCACGCTGTCACCCACCCATTCCTGGCTTCAGGTCCCACATCTGGCAGTACCTGCTTGGGAAACTGGAGCAGACGGCGGAGCCGAGGCTGGGGCTGCTGGGGGGGCCTGAGGAGGGGGTGTTGATTTCACCTCGTTCTCCAGGGAGGGGATCTGGATCTGCTGCTGCTGCTGCTGCTGGGTTAAACTGTTGACAAACTCCTCGTGCTGAGTCTTCAGGTTCTGGATCTGCTGCTGGAAGGCCACTTGCACAGGCTGCACAACCGTTGCGTACTCAGTGATCAGATTTGCCTGAGGAAACGAAAGGAACGGGGAACAAGTGAACTCTGCACCTGTAATACCTGCCCTGTCTGCCCCTTCAGAATTCCCTACATTGTTCTTCACCCTCTCTCCCCAAAAAATGTCTGAGGATGCAGGGTAATGCTGGCAGAACCACACAGCCTCACTAGGAAGCTCTGGTGGGGTTTTCCAAAATATTCTCTGCAGGCTGGAACCCACCACTCTTATCGGTGCCTTTCCAGTACAGCTCAAATCAACAGCATTCGTTATTAATAATAAAAACAAATAGTTCCTGCTGCCACAACAGTTTTTATACTCAATACACCCAATTTAAAGCTGTGATTTCTTGTTTCCTTTTGACCAAACAGTCATTTCCATGCGCTGTCATGTATGTACAGGACTGTATCAGTCTGTATCCTGCACCCAGCACTGCATCAGCAGCTGGATTATTGAACATTTGAAATTAAAAGATTGTATTTTACGTTGTTTTTGTTAATCCCCTGTAAACAACTTCAAGGGGGTCAGGAAATTAATTTTTCCTTTTGAAAGGTTTAACGTTTCCTAAATTTGTTTTTTATATATATATATATATATAAAAATAATAAAGCTGTTACTTTTGTGGCTAACCTGGTACTGGCCAAGTCCAAGAGCTGGGCTCTGTAACTGCTGAATAATGGACTCATCAAAGTACCCATTTTTCTCCCACAGTTGAAGAAGCTGCAGAAATTCAAGAGTGAAAGGTTTTTAGAAATTAAGAACAATCAAAGAAAAACTGAGGCACAGCATTTTTACATCTCCAGCTTTTCATAAGACCTTGGATTTCAGCACTTATTTTTGAACCACTGAAGATTCAGATCCATCCATCACCATTATAACTTTTAAATAAAGCTTAGATACTTCTAAATTCTAGTTCAAACAATCAGATCAGGAAAAAATCTCAGTGGCCTTCCCCCATCCTCCTATTTGTGAATTTGCAGAGCACCAACCCAACAAAGCAAAACTCAACACAGCCAACCCAAACCCAGGTACTCACTCTGGCAATTTTCTGCTGTTTATCCTCCTCCACTGCCAGAAAACTGGTGCAATAAATGGGCACAACCACCTTCTGCAGAGCAGCCAGAAGATCTCGTGCTTGCTTCCGTTGGCTTCAAGAAAGCAATTGGAAGAGTTACCTTTTCCACTCCAACAGACTGCACTGGAACATGCAAATCAACTCAACTTCTGCTCTAATAAAAGTAGTGGATGCCTAAAATACAGAGTTCTCTCCTTTATATTTTTACTGTGTAGTCTGGAGGAGAAATACACAAAGTAGGTGAAAGCTAAGTCTGATCACTAAAGCACTGGATCTTCGTGCCAGCTGGGGGCATCTCGAGATGGAAAATTAGGAAAATTAACAAATTAAAAAGCGATCAGTCAAACTAACGTGATATCCAGGAGAGAGACTTCACCAAATGACTGAACCCCTGGCAGTTAATCCTCACCAGTGATGCAGAACATCGTTGATCAGGTAGATGAGGTGCAGCCGCAGCTCAAAGTGCGCTCCCTCGGCCGTGATGCGGTTGCGCAGGTGCCCGGCCATCAGCTCGCAGTGGGCAGGAGACTTGGCATTGCTGAACATCCAGTTCTTGCCAGCCTTGGGAAAAGCAGATGTTCAATGTTTCAGCCAGGCCTAATGCATTCACCTCACCTGGGCTTCCTGCAGCGCTCGGGCACAACTGCAGGAAGGGTAGTTCTTGGGTGACGGCTCTCACCTCACCTCACCTCACCTCACCTGCCACCCAGCACAGCAACAAAGCTGTTAACTGTGCCAGCTGGGCAGTGGAGGAACCCACAGCACCCCAAACCCCTGTGCAGGATGAGAAGGAACCCCAGCACCCCCAAATCCCTGTGCATTTTGAGAAGGAACCCAAAGCACCCCCAAATCCCTGTGCATTTTGAGAAGGAACCCACAGCACCCCCAAATCCTGTGCACTCTGAGAACTAGAGGAACCCACAGCACCCCCAAACCCCTGTGCAGGATGAGAAGGAACCCCCAGCACCCCCAAATCCCTGTGTAGGATGAGAAGGAACCCAAAGCACCCCCAAACCCCTGTGCATTTTGAGAAGGAACCCCCAGCACCCCCAAATCCCTGTGCATTTTGAGAAGGAACCCACAGCACCCCCAAATCCCTGGGCAGGCTCAGGTCACTTACTGAGATGGCATCTTTCGTACAAGTGTCAATTATTGGCTGCAACAAGTTGTCAAACTCATTCATATCTAACTGGGTTTCCTCCAAAACCTTCTGCATTTGCTGCTCGATGGCAAGGGCTACTGCTGATGTGACTTGTTCCTGAAAAAAAAAAAAACAGAAGGAAAAAAACCCCTCCATTATATCCAACATTCTTGTAAAGAGTGACTCTGCTGTGTCCCTGTTCTCCTGGACATAAGTAACTATCTGGAAGAACAAGCAATGTGACCACAGAAAAGTGTTTCTATTATTTGGTTTGGAGGGGAAAAAAAAGAGTCTTCACATTCTTCAGGAAAAATCCAGTTCATTTCCACCTCTAAAATCTATCATGGAATTGAAAAATAATGGCAGGAAGCTCCTAAATGTAAGGAATATAAAGGCACAAGAACTCTTCAGTTTGGTTCCCAGCAGCTTTAACAGCCAAAACACCTCCTGCAAAAACCAACTAGCTGATTGCACACAGTTCCCTTCCACCCCTAATCAGATCCAGCTTGGAATACTGCACACTGGAATGTCCTGCAGATCCCAGCAACCTGCAGCATCAAACCAAGATTAAAGCAGAATAAATTGTGACTGTTTTAAAACCAACAAGGTTTTTTTCCACGGGGTAAATAAAACGGTTTCAATCACAGGCCAGTGTCCCCAGCACAACCTGCACATCAGATACATCCCCTCTAGGAAGATGATGGCATTTGCCACAGGACAAAAGTAAGGAAAGCAACACTCCCTTCTCCTTTCAGCCACCACCACTCGGCAGGAAAAACCTCCTCTCCCCTTTCATTCCTCATCCACTCAGCCACTGGCACTCCGGGACACACCAGGTGGGTGTTTTCTCTCAAACCAACCTGTCTCATGGCGAGCAGGTGCTGCTCCTGCTGCTGCAGGTTCCACTGACTCTGCTGGATCAGCTCCTCCACCGAGGGGGTGCCCTGGGGGGCCGGGATGGGCGCGGCCGGCGGCAGCGAGGGCTGAGGCAGGGGCTGGATCTGGGCAGAAGCCTCGATGTCCTGGCTTTGCTTGCACAGCACTACGGGACAGAGTAAACTCGGAAATTAAACCTCCCGGAGCGCCCTGTCCCTCGTCACCGCCAGCCCGCGGCGGGCACGGGGCTGGCTCCGGACCGACCCTCCCTCCGCGGGTCTCCAGAGCCGCCGGGACAAAGCTCCGAGGCACGGGCTGGGATTGCTGGGGTGTCCCGCGCAGGGTTCCACGATGCCGATTCCCAGGTCCCTTCCAGCTCGGGGTGCGCTGTGATGAACGCAGCCCCGCGGGCGGATGGCGCCAAGGAGGAGTCCCCGATTCCCTGCGCGCTTCCAGGGGGGCAACTCCGGCAGGAGCGCCGACACCTCCCCGTGCCCGGGGGGGCTGGCCCGGCGCTGGGCTCTGTGTGCCCCCCGCTCCCCCTGCCCGTCCCCACGCCCGCCCGGGGCCCCGCGGAGCAGAAGGGACTCCCCGGCCGGGCCCGGGCTGAGGGAAGGGGGGCCCGGGCCGGCCCCGACCCGCCGGCCCTGCCCGAGCCGCGGGCCCCACTCACGCTGCTGCTGCTCCAGCGCCAGCTTGTACTTGTAGTAGCCGTAGAAGTCGCCGCCGAAGAGGAAGGAGAACTTGGGGTTCTCCTTCTGCTTCTCCATCGTCATCTTCTCGAACTCGGGCCCGTTCCGCGCCACGAACTGCGCCAGCTTGTCGATGACATTCCGCAGCTCCTGATCTGCGCGGGGAGGACGGCGCCGTCAGGCCCCGCTCTCCCGGCTCCCTTCCCCGGTTCCCCCGCGCCCCCAGTTGCGCCCCGGGACCCTCCCGTTCCCCCCCCAGACCGCGGTGTCCCCTCACCCTCGGGCGGCAGCGGCATCTCCATGGCCGCGGCTCCCGGGCCCGCTGGGCCGCGCCGCTCCGATGGCAGCGCGACACCCGCGCGGCCGCGCTTTACGGCTGCGTCGCTATGGAGACGGCGCGCGACGCGGGTCACGTGTGTGTCGTGTTCCCCCCCCCCCCATGAGGCGTGAGGGGAGAGGAGGGAATAACAATTTATAACAATATTTATAACAATTTTTAAGGAAATAAAGGGATAAAGAGGCGGGTCAAACGTCTGCGTTATTAGTTATTTAAACAGATGGGTAGAGTTGAACAAACCCCAAGAGGTTCCGTCGAATTCATTTTTAACGTTAAAATTTAAATTGTCCAAATCAGTCTTTTTTTTTTTTATATATATATAATGTTAAAATTTTGATTTTTTTTCCAAATTAATTTTAAATTTTTGGTCTTTCATTTTAAAATTCCAATTTTCCAATCGATTTTTACTTTTAGTTTTTAAATAAAATTTTGATTTTTTTTCGGATTAAAGTTAAAATCTTAATTTTAGGATTCATTTAAAATGTTTATTTTTTTTATTTTAAAATTTTTATTGTTGACTTTAATTTTTTCTTTTTTAATTTTTAAAGTTTTTCATTTCTAGTCAAACGTTCAAAATGTTCATTTGCTGAAGGGCCGGATTTCCCACAGAAAGGAGTGAGGAGGGAGTCGGGGTTTTTTTGTAACCCCACCCATATTCACATCATTTGATAGACTTCTAATATCAAAAAAGCAATAAAAAGGGCTTTTTTTTGTGTGGTTTTTTTTTTTTCAGTGAGTGCCACCTGTCACTTCAGGGTTCCCAGATTCGTTTCACTGGCCTGGGCTCTGAGTTTTGTTTCGAACAGCTCCACGACACGGCTCAGAAAATCCAAGCTTTATTAAAACAGCACTTTATTTATATTGCACCTGTTTTCACAAAGAGCTACGTGGCAGAAGTTCCTTCTGCTGCAAAAATCCTACAGCAGAAAAACGTGGGTTTGGACACAAAGGAAAGCTCTTGATTTTCAGCCATCACCAGGAGCTGACCCCAAATTACCAGCACCGTTTTTATAAATACTACACCTACAAATCTTAAGTATTGCCTCAATTTTATTGAACATCCAGTTCTTTGACAACCACAAGCATTTTGCCAGATGATAAAGATGCTCAAACCGCCACTGGGTACTAAAATTGAACCTGCAAGGGAAATATTTTGAAGATCTCTTGAGAGGGCACCAAATACTCTTTGGAACCACCAACAGAGAAACCCACACAGAGGGAGAGATTCGGGTTGGTACTTCCAGAACTACCCAGGACTGTTTTGGGAAGGATTTCCCAACGTTGTGATGTATTTACATGTTAAAAATGCCTCATGGGAGTCAAAACATCTCAAAGGATCCCAGTCATTGGTGTCCTAACCCTGGTCAGAGGAGTTCAGACTCTGTAACCACCCAGACAGGCATCATCCACCCAGCAGAACATCAGTCCAGCTCCTCCCAGGTGGAATGAACCCAAAGCAACCCCCTTGGCTTTAAAAACAGGGTCATTATACAGGATTTTCTGGATTTGCCCTTTTTTATTCCAGTGTTTCCTTACTTTCTCCACACCTTATGTACAGCGTTAAACACATCATTATTCATTTACAAACCAGCTTAGAGCAAACTTTGCCAAACAAAATTCCACAGAGCTCTCCAAGACTCAAATACACATTCCAGCAGGATCAGAAACTTCCTTTCCCTGAATGTGGGCAAATATTGCTTAAGGACTGGGATTCAGGATTCACCAAAACCACCTCCCGGAACGGCCTCGCTCCACCGTTCTAATTACACCTTGTACCGCTCGCAATTATCCCTGCTGGGCTGCAGGAGCGCTGCCAGGAGTCTCCAGGGAAGGGATTCACTCTCTGAGCCCTAAAAGGACAAGATCCTGCTTTGGGTCAGTCCGCTTTTGCAAGCACAGGAGTTTCATTCCAGAGACACAGCGACTTTGGGCTTTGGGACGAGTGATTTTGAACAGAGAGCCCCCTCACCTGCTGGCAGGCTGCAGAGAGAAAGCTGAGCTGAAGAGCTGCCAGTGGTAAACGTGCAGCTCAAGCTTTCTCTGAGAACTGTTTGCAAAAAAAAAAATAAAATGTCTGGGTATGTTCTTTAAAAGGAAATCATCCAAATGTGTTTAATGCAGGCTCTGATCTGGGGGGATTAACCCCACTGGGGTTGTGTGAAGGTGGCACAGCAGCCAACACATGTACAGGTGACCTCACGTTACTCCTGCCCATCCCTGGGGTCCCAATGATGCTTTTTTTTTGGTATTTCAACCTCCCCCAAGGGGGAAATGAAGTAGGGAAGAATCATCTCCCTTTCCCCAGTGGGAAACAGGCCCAAAGAACACGGCCCAGCCTTTGCAGGAGTCCAAGAGGTCACAACCAGCTTCCCTTGAAAGCAGCTGAACTGCAGCTCCTCCTGAAAAACCTCAGCCTAAATCTCTCCCCCTCAAATCGGCCTTGTGCAGGGTCAGCACCTGATCCAAACCCAGAGTGCACAAAATCCTTTTCACACGGATTGTAAAAGCATCTAAATATTGGGAAGTGAGCCTCAGAAATGCACACTTGGCACTTTCCCACATTAGAAAGAAATAATTATACATATTTTGATACTGGGATGGGCAGTTCTTCAACCTGAAAGAAAACCTTGTGATCTTTTTCATCTGGTTAGGGACAGATTTATTTAGATTTTCTTGCCTAAAAGCCCAAGGTCTAAGCTACTACATGAACAGATTGGACTCCAGTCAAGGCAAGGAAGTTCTGCTCACACACAGAAACAGCAAATTGAACCCACTCTGAAGTTTCAGGAGGACCATTTCCTCTTTTGGACTGGCTGGTGGAAAGGCTGTTTATGCAACTACCACCCCAGCAGCCAAAAGAAGAAGATTCAGCTCGATTTTTGCCCTTAAAAATAAAGTCTTTATTATCCAGAAAGGAGCCAAATCAGCATCTCACATCATAGAAACGGTCATTTGTAAAGCAATAAATAAGAGGAGGGAGTGCTCCGTGTCACACCCTGAATTTTGTCACTGGTGTTTATTACCCCTCTAATAAAAGCATAATATTTATGCTATGGAAGTCTCACTGTACAACAGCTTGTTCTGGGAAGGAAAGAAGGCCCCTAAAAAATCTTTTGCTAAAGCAATAACAAAAAGCTGATTCAGTGGAACCCAGGTTCAGAGCTGGGTTTCACTTCATTCCAAGGAATTTCATTCCGAGGAAGGAAAGCCGAGTTTCATTCCTTCCATGCACAAATGCAGTACCTGACACACACACGATCACCTTGCCTAGAAATGAATTATGTTCATTTATACTGAATCAGTTCTTAACCATAAATTATCTATTTACTGTTGATTCAAATCAGCTTTCCTTGGATTCCTGTTCAAGCCAGGAGAGCTGCAGGAACAGCACAGGATACAAAATTTAACTTCTTTCAGCAGAAAGTGGAAGTCAGGCTAAATCCACACAGCTACTCCAACAGCAGTGATTAAGGAATTAAAAAAAAAATTAGGGACTAAAAAGACTCAAGAAACAATTAAGAATGATGATTATTCAAATCAATGCATTCATGAGATATGAATCGTATAAGACAGCATATTTCATGCATAAAACTGAGAACAAAACACCTTATGTCTCTCAACCCCTAAAGCAACAAAAGGGTTTTGGAAGAACAGGTGTGAAGCAAGTCAAAAAATAAAATCATATTATTCCAAACACTTTATTTGTGCAGGAGTTTCCTGCATGGCCAAGGAAGAGCAATGTCTGAAGTTACAGGACTGACATGATTCAGAAACAACTGTTAATTTAAGCTTGGCTTGGTTGTTCTCTTACAGTGACTGGGACAACAGTGATGTGGATGTTTCTCTGTGCCTGAAGCCCCATCCTGGCAGAGATCAATCCTTCCACTGGCTGCTCCTTCAGAAACACTTCTGGTTTGTCCTCCAGGACCGAAGGCAGAGGCACAAGAGCAGTGAACACCCACGTGGAGTTCCAAGGATGCTCGAGATGAGCTCAGGGTTACTTGCCTGCAAACTGACACACCTCAGGCAATCCTCCTCAGACAAATCCTGATAACCAGAAATCTGCTTCACTTCCACTTCTTGCTGAAAGCTTCATTAAAAGTATCGTTAAAACGTTATCAGAGGACAAATTAAAGGTGACGTTACCAGCGTGGGAACAAGATACTGGCCAGAATTCAGCTGCCAAGAGAATAACCAGCTGGCAGACTCTGAGAGGAGCAGCGACAGACGTCCCACTGTGCAGTGACACACGAGCACCTCACGGGGATCCCCGCACAAGGTCTGCTTTCAGTCTCAGCTCTGGCTGCTCCACGTTTAAAGCTCTGCCCAGCAGCAGCCGCAGGTCTGTGCCGCTCCCCTACACACACACACACACCTGCCCTGCTGCCAAACCGGCACGGTCAATGGCTCTGTGACGTTCACAGGGGTACTGACAGTCTGTGCTGGGGACGCTGCGATCCCACAGCTGTCCCTGCGTGCCAGGCTCTAGATGTCGAAGCGGCTGGGGCTGTAGGTGCCGGGGTAGCTCTGCCGCCCGTACTGGAGGTGCTCTGGGAGGACGTTGCTGAGGACGTTGCCGCGGCCGTACTGGAAGTCCCCGTGCTGGGCAAACCCCGCCAGTCCGTTCGGGGACTTCTCAGGAGGGTTCCGGTGCCGTTCCAGGTTCACGAGGTCTCCGGTGGTGACCGGAAGCAGCTGCTTCTTTGCTTCTTGGTTTGCGTCGTATTTTGTCTGGGAAAGGGAGAAGGAATTTTTTCCGTGGGATCACTGAGGTTGGGAAAGACCTCCGAGACCATCTGAGCCCAACCCGGGCCTGATCCCCACCTTGTCCCCCAGCCCAGAGCACTGAGTGCCATGGACAGCTGTTCCCTGCACACCTCCAGGGGTGGTGATTCCACCCCCTCCCTGGGCAGCCCCTGCCAATGCCTGACAACCCCTTCCACGGAGACAGGTTTTCCTAAATACCACCTGACACCTTCATACACCCAGAAACAAAGCAAACAGTCCTACAATTAATCACTCTCTGTGCCCGTTAAAGTCTTAAATTATTAATGGTTTCTAATAAAAACCTAATTCCTCTCACATGCCAAACGAACACAAGCTGCTCTTTTTGCTCACAAGGCTTGAGTTACTTCCCAATCTTCCCTTTTCAAGAAAACATTAAGGGGAAAATCGAAATTTGTGAGAGACCCAAGCACACCCAAGTCCTTCGCTCGGGCCACAGCGTGTGGTTCCGCAACGCCCTGCCCTCCACATTTTTGTGCCATTTTTGTGGCACAAAGAAGAATCCACAGCTACTGGAGCGTCCCAACCGTGTCTCCCAGGTAAACAAAGCAGCCCCTCACCTTGTTGTACAAGAAGACCCCCAGGATGGCCGTCATCATCCCCAGCACGTTGGTGCTCGTGACGGGGTTGCGCAGCATGATGAGGGACACGGTGATCACCATGATCCTCTTCGTGGCGTTGGCCACCGAGTAGCTGAGGGGGCTGATCAGGTTGAGGATACTGAAGGCAATGACGTTCTGGGCAAAGTTACAGAAGCCACTGATTACGAGCAGCATCAAGGTCCAGGACCAATGAGACATGGAGCTCTGGGTTAAAGCAAACAGGAGGAGGACAAAAAAAAAATTATCTCGGGTTTCAGGTAACAACACAAACACACCCTGAGGCACTGGGCAGCTGCCACTGGCAGGAGGATATCTCAGCTTCACTCCAAAGGGGCCCCAAGCACAGCATTGTGCAAGGACCAGCTCAGAGAGCCCAGGGGATGTTCCTGCCCTGCACATTGGGGGCCTTTGTTCCTGTCCCCAGCTCGCTGAGATTCCCACTGTTCCCATGAGCTGCCTGTCCCAATCCTGCCAGGAGTTCTCACCATAAACACTGTGTCTATTGTTTGTGAAACAACCTGCAGGTGTTTCCCAACGTTTCCTTCCACGCTGATACGGAACTACCCTGAAACACTTTAGGGCGCTCTTTTGGTTGGGTGGTGGCATCCCTTGCTGGGTTTTATTTACTTTATCCTCCTTTCTTAATAGCAATCAGTTCCTCTTCCCAAATATGACACTTACCAAGTCATTCTCCACTAGGAAGGAAGAAAGATCTACCAGAACCCACGTTGGGATCATGAAGAACACAGCGTGGCACCCGAGGATGTTCAGCAACCGAAGGTGATGGATCCGGGAATCTCTTAACACCTGACAAAAGCCATTATTGAACAGCACTCAAGACCCAGTAACAGCTTTAGGTGACAAGTAAATTAGAAAAATAAGACATACTGTTAGAGTATGAATTTCTTATAAGCATGACCAAAGAAAAACAGATGTCCATTCGAAAAAAATACGTTTTTTTGAGTGGTGACTCCTGGTATCAACAAGATGTTAATACATTTTAAAAGCTCTACAAAGCAGAAATCATTCTGTAACTAACTAGAGCCAAGACACACACTTTAATTCTCTTTCTAAGAGGAAAGTGTTACCTTCTTTGAGAAGATGTTCTGAAGGGAAAAGCACAGGGTAGCAGCAAGTGCACTGATGAGTCCCCACATGTCAAAGGAAAGCTCCGTGACGGTGGCCAAGAGGACCCCGGTGATTATGGGGATCAGAGACAGGTACACCTGGGAGAGGAAGGGAGAAGTAACTTGCACCTGCTAAGAACTTTAATTTCAGCTAAGTTTATACATCCTGATGTATAATCCTTAATCCTTAATCCTGATGGTTTAAGGGGGGGGAAGGAGAAGGAGGAATAAAGCAATAGATCCAGAGATCAACATTTATACTACTGTAGCTCAAGGAAATGAAGTAACCACAACAGACACTGTAGAGCATCACCTTGCTCAGTGTTCTTAATGAAATGGAAAGGGATTTGTAAAATCTGCATAATCTAATCCCACTCACAAACCCCACCCAGCCACCCAAAGCCCGAGCTCTGCTGCCCCAGCCAGCACAGCACACCCCAACCAGCAGCAAGAGAAGAAACCTCAGCAAACCTGTCCGCACCTTCGTCGTCTGCTTCTCCTTCATGATGATCCGCGAGAGGAGAACCACCCAAATCGGCATCGTGGCTTTCACTGGGGACGGGAGGAAAACATCCATGATGGGGACACACCTTGGGCCACGCCGGGACAGCCCTCCCTGTCACCCTGCTGGGCACTGCCACAGACACAGGCTGGGGCTTGGGGCTCTGGGACACTGTGTGGGCACCCACGGGAGCACCCACTGGGTACCGGGACACCTCACTCGTGTAAGGACACACGGGGCTTCAGGTCACTGCAGCCGGATCTGGTGCCAGCACACTCTGGGTACTGGGACACCGCACCGGGCACCGGCAGGAGCACCCACGGAGCTTCAGGTCACCACACCGGCCACCAGCACAAGCAATCGCGGGGCCCCAGGACAACCCCCCGGGCACCTCCACGAGCACACCCCGGGGTCAGGGCACCCTCCCGGTGCCACGCCCGCCCCTCGCTCCTCACCCGTGTGCGCGTAGGACACCGGGACCCTCCAGAGCGAGACGTGCGCGGACACGGAGGCGAAATACTTCCCGAAGGCGAGCGGGAGGATGTAGCGCGGGTAGGCGCGGGGCGGCAGCTGCGCGGGGCCGGCGGGCGGGACCCTCCATGCGCGGAGCAGCGGCGGCAGGAGCCCGCAGAGCCCCAGGATGTGGAACAGCGACACGGTGACGGGCCGGGGGAAGCCGCCGAGCAGCAGCTTGTTGACCACGTTGCCGCCGGCGCTGAGCCCGTACCAGGCGAGGCAGAGCGCGGACACCCGCGCCCCTTCCCGCAGCGCCGGCCCGCGCCCGCCCTGCGCCCCCCCGGCCCCGGCGGGAGCCGCCAGCGGGGCCGCCATCGCTGCGGAGCCGCCGAACGTCAGAGCCGCCAGCGAGGCGTCGCTTCCTGGGGCGGGGCGGCCGCGGCTCCCAGCGGGGACGGAGCGGCCCCGTCATTTCCTCCGCACCCGCACCCGCCCCGCGGCCCCGCCGCGCTGCCCCCGCCGCCACCCGCACCCTCCGCGCCGCATCCCCCGCTCCGCACATCCCCCTGCCGCCACCCGCACCCTCCGCGCCGCATCCCCCGCTCCGCACATCCCCCCGCCGCGCCCCGCACCCCGCGGGGTTGTGACGACCCGCGGGACACAAAACCGCGTCGAAAGCCCCGCGGGGAGGGGAGGGTGTTTCCCAGCCCGGCCCGGGTGACAGCGAGCGGCGCAGGGCAGGACGGAGCGAAGGTCGCGGGCTGGGAGGCACCGGCACGGTCGCTGCTGACCTTTAGAACGAACACTAATGCCGGCCCGGGGAAAGGAGGGGTGAGTACCTGGCAGGCAGGAGGGGCTCTAGAGCCCGGCTCATCCGCGCGCTCTGTCAAAAGACACTTCGGCAGCGTTATTAACACCGATAAAACATGCGCTTCAGTTAACGGCGGTTCCCAAAAGGTTTTGCTGATGAGCCATTTCGTGCCGTCCACTGACAAGGAAGAAACGGCAGCGTCTTAATTTCAAATTTTAGGATTAGAAGGATAAATTTTGCGAGAGAGGTAGGAGAAAGCAGAAACTGAGTCATGCACAAATGAGAGTCCACAGCAGGTACGCACATGGTAAACTTCATTTGAACTTGTTTACAAAATTGACAAAAAAATATCACCTTGTAAACTTATTCACATTTGTTGGAGCTCACAGAACTGGTTATACTGGCATGCTGAAATAAAGATTGTCAAGCCTCGTCTCACCCTGGATGACACCAAGTGAGTTGACCTTTAACAGCAGCAACAAACTCGGCATGGAACAAGATTTAAAGCTTGCACTGGGAAGGAGTTTCTCCACCGGTTTTGTACCACGGGGAAAGGGCCAGGTCTGATTCCTGATGCTCCCTCAAGCAACTGAACATCAGCAGTTTGCTGGATATAATCTGAAAGCTGTGATGAACTTCGGGCATCACCTCACCCAGCGAGGTCCTCGAGGGCCATCGGTTGCATCAGAAATGGAAGCAGTGGAGAAAAGATGGAGTTTTATCAAGTGTAACGCAATACTTTGCCATTTCCTGAAGTCTGCCCTCAATTTAAAGGCCTCAAAAGAGCACAGACCCTGTTCCTAAATGGGATCATTCAGGGAAGGAGGGAGGAGGGGCAGAGGGAGATAAAGATGCACAGCATTTTTTTTACATAAACAAAACTCAAGCATTTCCTAAGTGACCAGCAGCTCATCCCTCTGCCATCAAATCTACCACTCTGAACTGCAAGACAGGAGCTCTCCCCAACTGCAAACCTCACTGGCTCCACCTCCATCAACTGCAGAACAACAAAATGGAAGTAAACTGAAAATACACTTGGAAGCATTTTTTTGGTAACCACTTTTCACTCCCAGACCTCAAGATTTCAGAAGTGGAAGCACACAGACATCAAGTTTCTGAGACACCCACATGTTTCAGCAGCTGTCAGATCACAAAAGCAAGTAGGTTTGAACAAGAATGACTTGAAAATAAACCAGACCTCATCAGTTGTATTCCAGGGAATGAAGCAACTTAATGTGGTCAGGAGAACCAGGGAAGAGCCTGACCCTGCTCTCAGAGGCAGGAGAACTCCTGCCAAGGCTCTTCTCCAGCACAAATGGGTTAACAGCGTCAACATCACTAAACCTGGCAGTATTTTTGGTATAGTGTCCCCTCCCCTGTTCCCCTGGACAGAAGCCCAGCACTGGGGACTGCAGAAAACAGCCAGTGCCAAATGTTAAAGCAATTACAGGTATTAAAAATCCTTCACTTTCTACACCCCAGCCTGCTTTAGAAAGCGCCGTAACAGTGAGGAATAAAATACTACAAAGTTACTGAAACAAGAAAACCAACTCTGGTCCCTTTAGACTTTGAGGTACATTAACAGCAGGTGGGTTCTCAGCCCTCCAGAGTTCAAACCAAAATCCAACCTGTGTGACTGAACACCACCGAGGTACTTGGAAGACATCCCACACATCCCTAAGAGCTGCTCTCAGCAGTGTCCACAAGGATTTGGCTTCACCAAACTGCTCCAAGGGATTCCCAGGGTCAAGGGTCCCTTGGCTGGGCTGAACTGAGCAAACTTGGAAAGGAGGAGGGGGGAGAAAAAAAAAATGAGTGAAATACAAATAATTCGCAAACTGTTTTGTGCAAATTTTTTTTATTTCCACATTTATATCACAACGTGTCCACTTAAAGGACCAAATAGCAAAGTTGCTCCCTTCTGCATCCCAGGAACACAGAAGTCTAGTTACTGTACATTCACTAAGGCTCTTTGTTTTTGCAAATTGCGTTTATGATGGATATCCATAAGGCAAACAATATCTAAAGGAATGGTAACAAGTATATTTCCAGCATACAAACAGGCTTCCTTTTTCCCTCTCACAGTACAGTTACAAACTTGTAGCACCCTCATTACATTTAGATTCTAGAAAAGGTGATTTTTCTTTTTTTTTTTTATTTTTTGTCCTTTTTTTTTTTGTTTGTTTTTTATTTTTTGTGGGTTTTTTTTTTTTAATACCTAGAAGTTTTGCAGGAAGGGAAAAGGAGGAAAAATATTTGGCTGGTGGTGGTGGTGGGATCAAAAAATATCGTTAAAACATCTAGTTTTTGCAGCATTTCTCAGAGACTGGATTTAAACTGAAACCAGACTAAAGGATGTGGATGCCTATGGAATGTTGAGCTGAAGCTGGAGGCCCAGCCTGCAGTGCAACACCTGCTGGTTAAAACCCAATCTCCGTGTACCACATGACTTCAGACCAACGCAATCGTGTCCAGAGATGTGATAGAAATAAAACTACAGTTTTTGCACATTTGTCTCTCCAATATCTCACTGCCAAATAATAATTAAAAAAAAAAAATTAAAAAACAAAACAAAAAACAACCAACAAAATCCAAATCAAGTCAAATAAATAGATGCATATTTTGTTAAGGTAACTTCCACAATTTTCTCTGTACCTGCCTGTACTAAGATTCCGGCATTCAGAAAGTGCTGGAAATCCTCTTCACTTCTTGGGGACTAACACTTTTTATAGCTGGCTGGCTCTAGAGTTTTGAACTCACTGATCAACCTTCGTTATGCCTTCCTTTGCAATTGTTAGTAAACTGGTAGCAGCATTTCACAAAAGGAGAATTTAAAGGAACGAGCTGGAAAAGCCCAGCTCCCTCCCCCCCTCTGCTCGTGGGGCCTGTTTGTCCAGGACAGGAGGTTCTCTCTCTCTCTCTCTCTCTTTCTTTCTCTCTCCAGCTGGAAGTGGCATTTTGTTGTCTGCCAGTTTTGCCAACTGCAGGTGTTAAAAAAAAAAAGCAGGGTTTAAGCAACCAAACCTGCTCTCAGTCTAGGCAGACGTAAGGCAGGATGTTCAACCTCCCATCATCCCCGTGTGGGTCTAAGGATATGCACTGTGTCCAATCATACCAGTTACCCTGTGTGTCGTAACAACCGTTCACGCCCGGCCAGTTGTGGTCACGTATCCTGTCGAGGTCATCGCCCGTGACCTCCCTGGTGACCCCGGGCAAGTCTGTAGGTTTGCTGTTGGGAGCTAGAACGTGAGTCTTTCTAGCCTCTTTTCTAGTGCTTTCCTCCTGCTTTAAATACTCAGACATGAAGTAGTGAGCTCCTGGAGTCTGTACTCCTGATGAGGACAGCAAGCTACTCTGTCTGTTTAAATAGGACTGAATGATTTCGTTTCTGGACAACTCTTTCCAGTTCGTTTGTTCAAAAGGGCTTTGCAGGTTGGGTTTTTGCTCCTGCTTTTCCGTTTCTGTCCTGTGCTGTTCAGTAAGTGCAGGCATTTCTACCTGCAAAGGATCTTTCGGTGTTAAAGGTTTTATCTGTCCTGTCATGGGATCAAAAGTGAGTTTTCTCTCTTTTAACCTCACAGGTTTCACCCCCCCTTCTGTTACGTGCCCATCCAAGTTGACCGTGTAGTCTCTGGGCCGGTACCTTTTCTTCTTTTTACTCTCAGACCCTGAAGCAGCATCGTCACTGTCCATTTTGGAAGCGTCCTGTGGGAAGCCCACGTGTGGCAGGAGCGGCTCCCCGGGGTGGGCGCCAGCCTTGCAGGTGGGAGGTGCGTGGAGGGTCCCCGCCGGGTGCCTGTGTCCCTCGGGAGGGACCTGCTGCTCCTGCCAGTGCTGCGGGGCCTCGCTGGCGGAGGGCTGGGGGAGCTCCAGTCTCTTGGCCGGCAGTGGAGGTGTGGGTGGTTGCATCAGGGACGGTGGTGGCGATGGCACCTGTGCAGCGTCCAAGAACTGAGACCTCTGAGACGGACTGGGCGTCGAATCCTTTGGTGAGTACGTGCTGTGCTGCCGAGCAAAAGTCTCCTGCCTGACGTTCCTGGGGCTGAAGGAGGAGCAGCGAGGGCTCTTGGGCTGGTGAGGGCCCGTGGTCTCTTCTGATTTATCATGCTGCTGAAGCACTGCAGTCTTTAGTAAGGAGGAAGTGCTTGAAGGTTTTACAAGTCCTGGAGAACTGGTGTGAGGTTTGACAGCGTTTACTGGGATCTTATTGTGTTTATCATTTTCACTGAGTTCTGTCCTGCTGCTTTCGGGCCCCGCGTGTAGATTTACGTCTACAGGACTGGGAAAATTTTCAGGACTACCTCCAATGCCGTTTGTTGGAGGGGGTGAAGAGTTCTGTAATACTTCATGACTAGCTTTGGAGACTTTGGGGGGAGGAGGGCCCTGCTGCCCGTCCCTGTGATCGCCTTTCCTTTTGCGATTTCCCAGTTTCTCCGCTTTGGGAGAATTCAGTTTCTGAATGTCGTTCCTGCTTTTCAACTCGCTGATGGGCTTGGCTCCAGCCACAGCGGGAAGTTGTGCCTCTGGTTTGCAGTTGTGAGCACCTCCATTCGCTGATCCAGGTGGATTGGGGAGCCCTCTTGGCACGGGGTCATTCTGGGTCACGGGTTCGATCAACTTCTGCCAATTCCGCAACAATTTCTTGGCACGTTTGGCAAGCTCCTCATTGGATGTTTTCTTCCTCACCTCGTTGATGAGCCTCCCGAGTCTTGTTTCCTACAAAGACACACAAGGTGTTTTATAAACAGGTATCACCCCAAGAAAAAAAATACTCTTAAAGGAACGTTTCTGCTTTTGCTCACCCTGAGAAATACCTGGTTAAAAACACTCGAGATTTAAGGGCTGAATTAATCGTTTTTGGAAGGGATTGGTCCAGAGCTCGGCCACTCAACGTGAAACCAGCTGTGGGTTGAAAGGCTTTATTGCCTGAGCTGGGAAAAACATCAGGAAGGAATTCTTTAATGAGAAAGAACATTGAGAGTAAAGGTGTGAGTTCAGATGCAGCACCCAAAAGTTGAGTGTTTACCACAGTGAAAGTCTAAGATGTGCAGGAAGAGCCAAGAGAAAAGAATTCCGGGGTCTTTGCCTGTTCCAGTAACAAGTAACAATAAAAATCTCCTTTTGACAAGGTTGACTACCAGGTGTGACATGTCCTACCTTCCTCTTCCACCTCTCCCTTCACTCCCCAGTGTTTTGGGAACACATGGAAGAGCCATTCAAACAAGAATTCCCGGGGTGGCCCAAAGTGGTTTTGTGAGCGGAAGGAAGTGAAGTGTTTGATTGTTCCCAAAGCACGTTTGAAAGCAAAGAATTTGTTCCACAAGTCAGATTACTTAAGAAAAGGACTTCAAAGGAGAACACAGAGCAGCCTGTGAGAGAAATATGCAACCTGTTGGGATACATATGTTGAAATAACAGGTGGAGTTGTAATTAAGCAACAGTTAAAAGCAAGGAACGCTGCTAATTTCAATACAAAGAGTGAAAAAAATAATACATAAATCAGCCATAAAACTTCTTTGGGCTGTTTCTATGAGTGGCCAGTGAGGCTGCAGCTCTCTGACATCTGCTCTCACTAAAAACATCAGGTGTTGAAACCTGCTGAGATGAATTTCAGATTGATTTTATAGAACACAGCAACTATATTCTTATTTCAGATTCCTGGTGCTTGGTCACCAAACACCTAGCAAGGTGACCAGAATTGCAGTCCCAGTGCTGAAGGCACCCAAATCCATCAGTGGCAAGTGCTGATGAGTGGAGTGCCCTGCACAAACAGGAACTGTGCTGCCCAGAACACTGAGCTGGCCCAGAAAGCATCCCTGTGTTCAGCCACATGCAGGAAGCAGCACGAGAGGGACAAAATAATATCTTAATTGTGAATCCTTTGCAATCCATCTATTGTTCCCAGACAAGCTCCAATGGAAATCAGAAAGGCAGAGAAAAGTCCTTCCATACCCACAAAAATCATGCCCAGAGCGTGACATACCTCAAGTGCCTCTTTGGTAATGGGGTATTTCTCCAGGCTGGAGATCACTTCCAGCACTGCCACCATGTTATGGATCTGCAACAAGGAACAGAAAGTCACTCCGTGTTTCATCTACAGGTCTTAGTTATCAAATGTAATTTAAGACCTTCCACTTTGTAATTGCTGGGAGCCTTAATCACAAACTGCTCTCAGACTGTCTGGCTTTGGGGAGCTGATTGTTCAAGGAATAGGGACAAGGACACTTTCCTGGCCTAGATGGAAACTGCAGGAGCTGTAACAAACACACTCTTATGTAAAACTCAAGGAAACCTTTGCAGTTAAACAGCTGGGTTTTAGCAGCAAAGTTCTGGGACCCCTGGGCAAAGCATCACTCAATTGTCCTAACGGGAAACGAGTGCCCAGTGGAGCAAGAGCAGCAGCCGCTCCCGTGGGAAATCGGGATTGTTTTAGGCACTGCTTCAGCTTTACAGGAGTCACTGCTGGACAGCTTCATGCCCAGCATTGCTGCTCCCTGGGGCTGCACACCACGAGTGTCCAGAGGCTCCTGGGCCAGGGCTGTGCCCAGCAGGTGTCCCCAGACCGTTGTCCAGACCGGCCGTGGCTCCTCCGGCCACTCCACAACGCCGGGACCCCCGTGCTGTGCTGGGGGTGACACTCGTGGGATTTGAACCATTTTAATCATTTTAATCATTTCCACAAGGAACACACAAGATCCACGTTTTAGGACATGGTTTAGGGGTGAACTCAGTAATCTCAGAGAGCTTTTCCAACCTAAACAAGTTGATGATCCCACACAGAGATCCCGAATTTCCATTACCTGTTGTTGCAAGCACTGAAACCTGGAATTTCTAATTCACCTTTGGAGACAGATTTAAAAGATAAGCACAGGGAAACTTGAATCACAGTCTCATTTATTGCTTAATTGCATTTGTGACTCAACTGGACACGAAGTGCATGTGAGAAAAACCTCTCAGCAAGAACCTCTGCAGGGATCCCACGTCACCCTGAAGCTTGATCAGGAGCATCAGCAGGCAGCTCTGCCCCCCAGCCACACTGCCCTGCAGGATTCTTCAGTTTAAAAAGATTAAACTTCATAAGAATTGGCTTTTTCAAACCAGTTCTACCCTTCCCTTAAGATACAACAGAAGAACCATATATATGGTTCAGAAGAACTGATATATTTAAGTCTATACAGGCTTTGAATGATTCTAACTCTTACAGGCTGGGAAATCAACTTCAGGCCAAAGATTAATTGATTAATCCTGGTTCTTTCTTCACTCAACCACGTTGTGTCTGCAGGTATTTACAGCCCTACCACGAGGTCAGGCCTGGTAAAACTCTGCTCACCCTTTAGAGCAGCAATAGCCCCTCTTCTGACATAGTTCACATTTCACTATTTCATTTCAGTGCACTGATTTCTTCCATGTTTTGATCCTTGCCCTGCCCTCAGTGCCCAGGAAGGACAGTTTAACTAATACATAACACCAGGCTTGGGTTGTTTGTTTTTTTTTTTTTTAGTTTCCAGCACCAAAGCCCTTAGAATTGTTAATGCTCAATTCTGGGAGTTTCCAGACACATTTTTAAACTTGTCAAATATGACACCCTCCTTCCCAACACATATTTCAGACTCTGAACTACCAGGGTGCAAAAGGCTCTGCACTGCACACACCAGTAATTGGTCCAACTATTTCTGCAGTTACTGGTAATCCCCAAATATTCATTATCTAAATGACAAACTGATGGCAAAAAAAAAAAGGACTGTCAGCCTGTCAGGAAGGGGAAAGGGATGTTGTGTGTACACACACCTACAGAAAGATGGAACTGCTCAGGGAGTTTCCAGTCACTGCTTTGCCTTTGTTCAACAAATGGATCCCCCAAATGGTAAAATCACCTCCCAGGGCCTGGGTCCACACCAGGACTGACAGACTGGGACTTCCCTCCCTCTTCTGGGGACATGTGGTGCCAATTAAGGACAGTGAAAGTGGCCTTGCACCACTCAGCTCCTCCCCAAACACAAACCACCCCCCTGGGATTCCTCACACATTTGTCACCAGTTCAGAGCATGAAGGTTCCTGACATCTCACACCCCCCACAGCTGCAAGAGGCTCCTCTGATTTTCCCTTTTTTCCACCTATAGGAAAGTTTGGTTCTTTAAAAATAACTAAATACAACAGGCAGGTTCAGGTTCAGGCAGCTTCAACAACTTCTCCCCCTTCCCCAGTGGTTTTCTCGGAATATTTCAATGAAACTGCCACAAAGAGAAGTTTACAATGAAAATCAAATTGCCGATTTTAAAATAACACAGACTAGGAAGTTTCTTGGGGTACAGTTAAAACAGTGATGGAAGCAAGATGACCTCCCAAAGCACTCCAAGTATCACCCATTCCATGGGAAGACACCTGTTGGGATAACAGGATTATTGCACATCTGTATCTTTACCTTAAACCAGCTGTCACTGGCTTAATAAAATCCATATAAGTCACATAACCAACATGAGAGCGATGCTACAAAACCTACCAGGGCCTTCCTACTGTGAGCAGCACCAGAAATGTTGATTTATTGACACAAAGGGCTGTTAAAGGTGCTTATTGGATGCACAACAAAGAGTAGAGTGGGACAGGGAATTCTCCAGACTCTGCTCAGGAGTGGAACTGCACAAGTCTCAAGAACTCACAATTTAGTTTCTACTTGCCTTTGTCTGCTTGCCCTGCACCCCTGAGCACCCCCAAAACACCTGCCAGGAAGCAACCCCAGGACCTGCATTTGGGAGCTCTCAGGGAACAGCTCAGAATAATTTACAGAGCGTTCCCAACCATCCCAAGCTGTTCCCGTGCCGGGAGCATCGACTGGCACAGACCAATTCACTCGAAAGTTTACTGCAGAACATCTGCTTTGAGTCATCTGTGATAATCCCTTCCAGCCAACCCTAATGACAGCCACAGAAAACAAATCTTATTTATTCCATGCAAGGCTCCTGAAGTCATCCAGCCACGCTCTGGAGCTTTACTACTGCTCTCCAAGAGCTTTTCCAAGTTAAGCACTAAATGTTTTTACTCCGGCCTCAGACAAAAGCAGGGGTTTCTGAACTCTCTGGAAAAGATCAAGCAGCCTGATTTCCTTTTCTTAACTGCCATCTTAATCCTATTTTAGCATTTTTAAACAGGACTAGTTCAGTAACTAACTTCAGGGGAAGTGTTACACAGCAGTTTAAGGGGGGTTTGGGAAGTTTGAGGTCCAGCTGCTCCCTCCCACCTCCAATTCCAATGACACCTTCTCAGGGAGATGTGAAAAGAGCAGCAAGCTCAGCATCCCCACATCCACATGCTGGGATGTGTTCTCTGCTGGACCAGCACACTCCATGTCATGTTTTGATTCTCTTCCTTCACCTCCAGACCAGCCCAGATCCCAAACACAACAGGGACACCCAGGGAACACCTCCCTGGCTCCCCCAGGGCTGCCTGGACACAGCACACCTGCACCCCCTCCAGTGCTGCCTGAGAAACAAAGCTTGCACAAACTTGCCATGCACTCCTTTGGATAATGCAATTTTGGTTTGTTTTTTAACATTTCAGTGAAACTGTTAATGCAGTTATAATATATAATATAATAATTCTCTGCCCGCTGTGTTCTGGTACAAAGGCACTTTTTAATCACCAAGTTCACATAACAATGCTAAAAGGCATCTTTTGATACAGTATCATCGCCCACCTGGGTCACATCAGTACCTTTACAAGTTTCTAAAGGGTATTTAAGTCCAGAGTCCCCCATCCCTGGCACTGCTAAAACCAAAGTGTAACCCCATCACCCTCCCCAAATCACAGCTTACAACAATCAACCTGGCTCCGCTGTGGGCAAGGAGAGCTCCCAGGTACTACAACACACTGGCTTGGAGAGAAAGTTTTTGCCACCATACCTCAACTTACTTACTCAAAACATCTCTAAATACTCCAAATGTTGCTGGTTCCAAGGAAGGCACTCTGGTATCATTGTCCCACCTGCAGCACCAAAGCAGTCTGACAGAAGCAAGCAGAGAAGTGGGGACACCACAGAGGTCTAAACAGCTCTCCCATCTTCCTACAGACACAAATCCAGATGTCTATTGCCAAGCTGCATTTTCTGTTGCCAGTCAACCCAAGGAGGGTGCAGACAGTTCACAGAAGCATCTGTACATTTGTTGTTGTCCTGTCCCTGCTCCTGGGACCGGCAGCGCTTCATGGAGCAGTCACAAAGCTGCCACAGATCACAGGGCTGTGAACATCCCTCCCAAAACGTGCTAGGAAATCCTGGGATCGGGGTGAATCTTGCTGACATGGCCATGGAGGCAGAACTGATCCCGAGGGATTCCTCCTCCTCGGGGCTCTCGGCGTCACCTGCAGCCAAGCACCAGCTCCTCACCCACCCTGGGGTCCCCAGCAGTGCCACACCTCGCCCCCAGCACTGCTTTTATATAAAAGCTACTTCACTGCACAATAATCTAAACTATGGAATAACAAGAAGAGAAAAGCTGCTGTTCACAGGAGGCTTTATTTGGATGTGGCAATGGGAACACAGTGGTGCAGTTAATTGACCTCACAGACAATGAGACAATCAGGCACTGACAACACACACACCATCAACACTAAACTGAAATGTCTTTTTTTTTTTTTCCCCAAAGATGCAGCCCAAACACACCAAGTTAGAATCCAGGTTACAACCTGCTGGTATTTAGTTCAGTTCTTGCAGCTGATCTATTAACAGTTCCCTCTACCCCCAACCTGACACGGTGTTGTCTCCAGACAGGGAACACCAGACACTCCTCACAGCCACCACATCCCAAAAGATGACCAAGCACTACTTTGGTCATCAGCACTGAAAATGCTTGAAAATCAGCTTGCCAAGAAAGTTCCAGTATTAACCAAAGATGTTCTTAGAGGTGGGGGCTTTTCAAACAGTATCTCAGTAAAAGAGATCTTTACACATGAAGGAATCGATGGTTTGGGATGAAAGCCATCAACTGGGAGTATCTTCTATGATAGAGAAATTAATTTGGAGTCCATGCCTCAAAAGAATTATTAATTTGTGGTGCAAAACACAAGTAAAAGGTAGAAGAAATGCTCCTTGACCACCAAGAACAGTCCAAGGAGTGTCCAGGCACAACAAGCTGGACCTCCAGAGCTAAAATTTCTAGACCTAATTTAAAGAGTCAAAGCAATGTTGTTTTATTTATTATTTATTTATTAAATAAAATCTATATTTATTATTAAATGTGGTTTATTTATATTTAGGTTTTATTTAATGGTAAAGTAACATCATGCAGATACCTTTCTGTGTATACACTTTACAAAGCCAGGATCAAACAAGAAGAAGGGCAAGTTCCAATAAAATTCCACAGTGCAAAGAAATCCTCCAAACCTCAGTGGCCCAGCACAGTGCTCTGAGTAAATGTGATCCCAAAGGAAATGCCCAAGGTTTCCATCACCAATTCACCCACCTCACACCCCCTCAGTCACTGCACTGCTCCTAAGGATGGAAGAATCATTCAAGGAATGATTCCTTAAGATGAATCTTAAGGGAGATGAGAGCCTGATGAATAAAATGTTGAATACATTGTAGAATTTATTAATTCATCACACTGGAGAGTAATGTGCTCCTGGGAACTTGAGCACGGGGTGTTTGTTCACAAAATGGGAGAAAAATAGTCTTACAAACTGGGAAAGTTTTAAATATCAGGTTTGCAGAGAAGTCACTGTACCTTTCAACAACACTTCTGCCAGGACACACCACAAGGGAGCTCCTGGATGTGCAAAAAAACCTGTAATGGATTCACCCATCTCCTGGAATCACTGCTGTTCAAAGTTTAGATTAAACACTCTGTTCTCCAAAGACTGTGCAGGTCCTCAGGACAATACCACCTGTCAGGAAAGTGGAGCCTTCTCAGTGCAGAACATTTGGCCACTGCAGCCAGTGGAAATACTTGGGAACAAAATGCCTTTTCTACCTTTGGATGGGAAAAAAAAGCCTTTCCCAGAGGAAGGTGAGCACAGAGCCTTTTCAGCTCAGGGTTTACCAGTTGAAGGGTAACTATGAGAGCAGCTCCACTGCAAAGCCAGTGTTTTATTTGTGTTTAAACACAGAATCATGGAATGGTTTGTGTTGAGAGGGACCTTAAAGCCCATCACCTCTCACTACACTGGGCTGCTCCAGCCTGGCACTCGTTATTTCTGATCTTGGAGCCAAAAACGTCACCATTTCCACTTCAGAAAGCCCCAGTGAGGTTTAAGCCCCTTGGTAGCCTGTCTTTAAAAAGTCCAGGGAAGAAAATACCAAGTCAAACCCCAACAGCTCAGATTTGGACAGACAAACTCCTCCACACAACAGTGTACACCGAGTTTTCCACAGTGCACAGAGGCAGCCACTGCACAAATACATCCCCTCCTGCAGCTTCTCTTCACTGTGCTCAACTCTGTTCAATAATCAGCTGTAGTTTCTCCAAGGATTAACTATAAAATTGAAATGCTTCTTTTCCTGGAACTGTCAGGATGATAATTTATGTACAGACATGAAACTCCCTGTTCCTTCCCTTGCAGTTTGGAGCAGCAGGAGTGTTACACACTGACCTGTTCAGAAAGCTCTGCTTACAGACACTTACAGATACTGCAGATGTGCTGCAAATTTGTTCACCAAGGAGAATTTATGATTGTGCATCACTCTACCCAGGGAAAACACCACATTCCTCCTTAGCAAATAAAGCAGTGCAGACCTGTAGTATAATTGTGATCCTCCACAGGCTGATCCTGCGTGGAAACCACGGGAGAAAGCAGCTCCACAAAGCGCTGCTCGTCACTGCCAGACAAGACTTCCACCTCTGCACACTCATCTTCACAGCAGAGCCTGAAAACACAGCCAGAGCCCAGAGCTGGATCCCAGAGCCAGCTCTGGACTCAGATCCCTCCTCCTCAGCTGCTGGGTTAGAAACCACTTTGCTCAGTAAAACAGAACTAATTACATTTTACTTCCAGTGACTCCTCAGTGGAAACTGCTACCACTGACTGTTTGGACACGCTGAAAATTGTATACTTTGGTATTAACAATCACACTCCACTGCCCTGTGAAAGCCATGCCCCAGAAAACACCAATTCACTGCCGAGTTTAGCAGATTGCACCTCAAATTAAAGCAATTTGCTGACACTTAAATATTGTTCCAAACACTGAAAGCATGAATTACCCACAGAAAGAGTAATTTAGCTGTTATAAGACTGAATAAACAAACCTACATTTACATTAAACTGGATGTGAGGCACTTACTTACCTCTACCTTCAATATTTCTTTAAAGGCCAAGAGTATAAGTGGGGCCACATCATCCCATGTCACACAGACCCAAGGAAGTTTATTTGGAGTTATCACCAAGCTCAAAATGGGTAAGAGGAGATAACAGCAAAGCCTTATCAGCCAAAACAGACATGGGTTTTCATGTATAAGAACTACCCTGACATTTAGTTTTTAACTCCAAGTCTTATATATTGGAGTAACTGTGTTCAAAGAGGTGTTTCTTGACTAACCCCAAATTTCCTCAGTGGGCAGAATCGATTCCTCCTTTCCCTCTCCTGAAACTTTTGTGGTTCCTTTAAAACAGAAAACTCTTCCTTGTCAACTGCAGCACCTTCTTGAAGAAACTGGAAAAGGATCTCAGAGGGTGAAAAGGTTTCAGCTGCTCTGAAGGTGCTCTCAGCAGGAGCCAAAGGGGGCAGAGTGACAGTGCTGTTGTCACAGCAAAACCCTGAAGGAAGGCAAGGACACACACACTGCTGCTCCTAAACTGGGCCCACCCTCACCTCACTGGACAGAACCCTCACAAATGACCAAGTGGAGCTCCTGGACCAGGCCCAGACTTCAGCTGAATTTTTCTAGTGCATAAGTTGGGTGTTTCTCCAGTTTCTGACTGTGCCAGGGTGAGGCTGCAGGGCCTGGGCAGCAGGAGCTGTCCCCCAGCCCCTGTGCCCAGCATTCCTGGGTTAAAGGAGTGCCACGAGGGACAGCCAAATGCCCTCATTCCCCCTGGAACACAGAGCTCCCCAGGGAGACAGAGAACAGCACCCTTGGGTTCTCTGCTGCTGGGAAGTTTGCTCAGCACATCCCTCCTGCAAGGACCCACATCAGCTTGCACATCAGCTGTGGTCTGTGGGGACTGTCAGAGATGACTCCCCGTGTTTATGCTCCCTACAAAAAGTTGGTTTTTCCATACAGTAGCTGCTTCGTGGCTACACCAATAAAAATGTGTTAATAGGTTATTTCCCTGCAGCCTCTGAGCATTCAGTGTTCACTTCTCACCGAGGGCCCACAGACAGGTACTGGCTGCAAAGTTTTATCACTGGGATTTAAAAAGCCCTTTAATGATCCCCTTTAATTTACCAGCCTGACAACGAGAGGGGGTCAACCTGGAGGGTGCTGCTCTGCAACAGCTTGAGCTGCCACAACCCCACTGCCAGCTCTGCTCACACCAACTACCAACCACTGCTTTGTGCCAAAACTGCATCTCCCTGAGCCCAGGAGGAGCTGGGCAGGAAGAGAGGCCCCTGAGGAACCCCTGCTCAGGTAGGGTTGGCCAGGGCAGTCCTTGGCTGGCCTGGTGCAGGGTCAGCACGAGGGAGGGAACAGGAACAGCTGGAGGTGGGGATGGGCATCCCAGCAGCAATCCTAGCTCCAGTGGCAGCTTCAGCTGGTGTAAACACATGGGTTTAAGCCAAAACAATCCAACTTTTGATCATTTGGAGCATTAGCCACACGACCTTTAGTGTAAGGTGGTGGTTTGCTCTTGGATTTGCAAAGCTCACTCAGGAGTTACTACTCAGGAGTGTTCTCCTGGATATCCATAAAGACATTTCCCAGCAGTTATCCCAGAACATGCAGTCCCTGCACTGCTGCATCCCCACAAACAGAGGGTAATTCCAGATGTCTGTGAGACACACACAAGCAACAGCAGCAATAAAGGTTCTACAGGTGAAACTTTGACCACAAGGCAGCAACTCTGACCTCAGAAAACCCAGGCAAGGCAGCACGAGGAAGCAGCAGCATCCACTTCTCATGGAACCCCAGAATGGCTGGCGTTGGAAGGGACCTCAAAGCTCATCTCATTCCACCCCTGCCATGGGCAGGGACACCTTGCACTAGCCCAGGCTGCCAAGCTGGCCTTGGGCACTTCCAGAGATGGGGCAGCCCCAGCTGCTCTGGGTAACCTGTGCCAGGGCCTGCCCACCCTCCCAGCCAACAATTCTTTTCTGCTTCCACACTTTAAGACCCAACTCTGCTGCCACACCTGTGCCAGAACTATTGGTGATGCACCAAAAGTTTTATCAAGCAATTGAGTTCCATCAAAAACTACCTGGGAAAAGACACATCTGCTGTCTTTTCTTCTTTAAACCCCCACCAATTCCTCGGTTCAGTTCCCCACACCATCCTGCACACGTAAAATGGGTGTGTGTAGCAGGAATAAGAAGTGGGTGTTATTTAAATTGTCCCTGCTGCCGAAACAAACACTCAAATTACAGCTTCAGAGCAAATGACTCTTGCCATCATCACTGCAAGCCGGACAGTTTCAAGGAATTAATGCTGGAAAAGCAGTTTGGCATTCCCCTTGCTTTGACCCCTCCATCCAAACTCTCTGACACTTCTGTTTGCTCAGGTTTTGTCTCAGCAGCCTTAAAGCTCAGAAAGGTCTCACTGCTGCAGGGAAAACAGCGAAAATGAAAAGTGTTTAAGCCCCCAGCCTCCCAAAAAGTGAGAGCCTGGACTGCCACCAAGCCAACAGAGCACTGCCAGAAATCCAACTGTGCCATCACCCTCACGCAGAAGAATTCAAGTGAATCCAGGTTTTTTTCAGCACAGAACACCAAGAAACACAGTCCCCCTCAATTAAGGCTGCTGAGAAGAACCTGAACACAGTGGGACTCATCACATCAGGCCCAAATCTTTATCTGGAACCCAGGACTGACACAATAACTCTCCAGACCCTCCAGGTGAGGAAATGCCCCAACCACCCGCACGTTTCATCACACACCTGGAGACAACTCAGGGCCTTCATGCACAAAATGTGACACTACTGCAAAAGGAGATGAGCTGCAGCAAGGAAAGGAACAAAGAGGGTGAGAGGCACAACAGGTTCCCTGCACTCAAAACTGCTAAGCTCATTAAGGCCTCCAGAAAAGGATAAAGCTAAAGCAAGAGCCATTCCTAGGCTACTTTCGCCCACACTTAGCACTTCCTGCATCCAGAGGAATCACCGAAACCCTCTGGAAGTGAACACCACCTTCCTCTACTTTCTGTGTTTGTGTTATTACAGCAGTGTCCTGCACCTTCTCCCACCTTTTCAAACTCTGCTAGAAAGTACCTTTCTCCCCAGGGAGGGAGGTTTTGTCTCCAGGACCTTGGTAAAACAACCAACGCAGAAAACAGCAGCTTTAACCCTGCAACCGGTGCCAGCTGGGGGATCACCCCCTGCCAGGGCACCACCCAACCTCTGACAAAATTTATCATCAATAATCCAGACCAGGGACCGCTCCTGAAGGTCTGGGCAGCAAGGCCAGCTGAGATCCTGCACAGACAGCCCAAATTCCAGCCAAGCCCAACCTCACAGACTGTTGCTCCAACCAAAGCCAGGTTCGTGTGGCAGAAGGGCATTAATGGCAAATAATGGAGTTATTCTCTAATATCTAAAAACAGGAACAGATTGCTGCATGTTCAGCAGGAGGAACCATTTAATGACCAGCACAGTTTAGCAGGCAGTTGGAAACGAGAGGTTTGGCCACAGAGCAAAAACCCACCCGATGTCATTACTGCTGATGGCAGGTAAGAAACTCCCCCAGGAGCACAGAGCACAAGTGAACAAGGCAGAGGTGTCCTGCTGGGTGGGACAGGTGCTTTCTCAGAACACAGAGTCCAAACTTTCCACCAGAACCAAAGAATATCTCCCCTGGAAGACTTTCACACAAGCCCTGGAGTCCTGGAACGTTCTCACTCTCACGGAAGCTTTGGAAGGCAAGTGATGTTGATACTCAGTGCTCAGGTCATGGAGTAGAAATGGTCTGCCCATGTTTTTTTGGAGGGGAAAAAGGCTGAATAAATGAAGACACAATACCAGACATCCCGTGTGGCTTCCAAGGTGATGGAAGTTCTTTAAAAATAGCTTGTTTCTTATAGGTCTCCTTCGAAATAGAGGTTACCTATGTAAATCCTGAACCAAGTGTGGGAAACTAAGTTATAAATATATTCTGCAGCAATTACTAGAGGAGGCTCAAGTGCTAAACCTGCATGTAAATTCAACATTGCTCCCAAGTCAGCACAGTTTTACTGAACAATCAGCACAGGAGATGATTTCTTCAGGCCAGCAGGTTGTGAAAGCTTGGGGAAAGGATTGTTTTGATCCATTCAACAAAGGTAGAAAAACTGATGTCTCTATTTTTGTGTTAATTTAAGCCCTGACCTGAGAGTTAACCAAGATCTGTAGAACCACACAGACCCTTTAGAGCTGCACAGGAATGAATATTCCCAGTGGCAGCTCATGTTAGGGGACATATCAGACAAATTTACAGACCCTACAAGAACCAACCATGTCCTCTTCCTCAGCCTCACAGAACTGAGCTGGTTTTGCACACCTGACACTGTTAGTGCAGCTCTCCCCCTTCTCCAGAAACACACACATAACACACCCCAGCTGTACTGAAAAACCTGAGTGAAGTCCAGGCCTCAAAGCTCGACTTTCTTGGGAAATGAGGAAGTCAATGACAGTAACAAATACTGTAGGTTTGAAGGCAACCCCTTCTGTCAGGAGAAGATTCCAAAACTAGCAGAAAGCAGCCAGTTTTCCATGTGTCCCTGCAGGCACAGCAGCTCATGGCTGCACAGACTCTCCCAGCAGGAAAACATCAGGGCAGTTTCTTGCACTTCCACATTGCTTCCCAAGCATGATTAAACTCACCATCTACTTTTACACATGTTCAAAATTCAAGTTTTCCTTTCCCCCCCCTGTGCCAGTGACGTGCCAGGTAGTGAACAACCAACACCACCACCCATCCCATGTGCTGTGGAGCAGAGAGCCTGAGCTCCAGGCCTGCCCAGTAAACCTCAGGCACACCATGCCTGCTCTCCTTCAAGAAAAGGTTAAACTGCAAGACAGCCCCTGCCTACAGGCACTCCGGAACAATGGGCTGATTTTTCTGCCACCAATTATTGCCCTGGATAAGCATCAAGTATGTAGGATTATAATTTAACATACATCACACTCCTAAACTTAAGGGGCTACTGACCTGTTGGAAGTTCAGCAGAGCTGATGCTCTGCCCTCCCCTCGCAGGGAACTTGCCTGCTTATTTTGGGTCCCCTCACCAGGACAGCGCTGCCAAAGCCTTCCCAGGGCTGTGTAACAGCCAGGTGTGAAGAAAGGGAAAAGTATCCACCACAGGACACACTTCCTGAGCTCTGCAGAGTCACAGTGTTTTAGAAAGTAACACCAGAATTAGGGTAACCATTGCAGCCTGACAGTCCTGAAGTCAAAAGACACCACAGATCTGTTGGAATTTTATTAAAGTAGGTTGGCACTCAGTCTTGGGTAGAGTGAAAAATCTGCAGCCACAGAGAGAGAGAGCTCAGAGCAGACACGATTCATGAGGTGCACCAACTGACATTTCAGCAGCACTGCAAACCCAGCCAGCACCGACATTTAACAGCCCCCAATCACCAGCAGCACTCGTTACTGTTACTCCAGTGGGTAACACCGCCTGGGACAGACCCAGCACACCCAGGGTTCTACAGAACCTACAAGGCCAGGGCGATTTTCCTTCAGTCCCCACTTCAGGCCACTCCAGGGGGGCTACAAAGGGCAGTAACTTTATTGGCTACTTGAGGACTTGGATACAGGGCCTAGCGCAAAAAAGCGCTTGTTCAGACAGCAGCAGGTACGACTTTATAGAACCAAAACACTGTTTCACACCCCCCCAGCCCCTGGAACAACAAGCACACGTTCAGCCTGATGTTCAGGCTGCCCCCACAAACTGCAGATGGCCAAGACAGACCCACGTCCTCATCCTTCAGCGGTGACTGTTGGTCTGAGCCTCAAAAATCAGGACAGATAGCGAGCTCTGCAGTCCTCTCACAGCAATAAACACCTAAGCAGAGAACTGCCCGGACGGGTCGAAAAAAAACACCCTCAAAAGGAGCAAACGATCCTTCGGATAACCACCACTTAGGGCCACTTCCAGGTAAAACACACGCTGACTCCTGCGCTCACACCACATCCCCGAAGGAGCACATAAGCTCATTACGGCGCTGCAGGAAGGGATAAAAAAGCGAAGAGCGAGGCTGCTCGGCGCTGGAGCAGCTCCAGAGCCCCGGGGTGCCCCCGGAGCGGCCGCGGGGCCCGAGGAACAGGTGGGCGCCCCGGCAGGTCCCGGCGAGGGCCGGCCCAGAGCCCCCTGCAGGCCGCGCCCGAGCCGCGGCCTGGCGTGGGGAGGCGGCCGGGCGGCCCCGCCGCATGGACGGGCAGCGCCGGCCGGGCCTGCAGAGCCCAGCGCCGCCGGCGCAGGGACCGCCGCGGCCCCGGCCGGGCACGGAGCGGCTCCGGGAGCCTCCCCCGGGGTGTCCCCGGGAAGGGAGCGGGCGGGCGAGATGCGCCGGGGGCTGCGGGACCCCCGGACGGGCGGCGCGGCGGGAGCTCCGCGGGACTGCCCGCGGCGGAGCCTGCGGTGCCCCGGGGAAGGTGTGGTACGGAGGTAGCCCCGGAGGGACCCCCGTGTGCCCCGAGCGGGGGTGGGGGCGGCGGCAGGAGCGCCGGGCGGGGGTCGGCCCGGAGCGCGGCGCTGGGGAAGGTGGGGGTGGTGGTGTGTGGGGGTGGTGAGCGGTACTCACGTTGCTCTGCGGGTCGATGGCCTGCAGCAGCCGGTCCCTGATCTGCTGCGGGGACGGGGCCGGAGCCGCTGTCATTGCCTGGGCGAAGCGGGGCTGCGGCCGGGGCTGGCGGGCGGCGGCGGCGGCGGGCCGGGCCGGGCCGGGCGGCGGCGGCTCCTCACTCACCGGCGGCGGCGGCGGCCTCGGGGAGCCGGGCGGGCACGTTCGCTGCGCTCGGGGCTCGGAGAGGCGGGTGGGAAGCCGGGGAAGGGGTAGGGGGAAGGAGCGGGCGGGCCCGGCGCTCCCTCCGCTCTCTCTCCGCTCCGCTCGGCTCGGGCCGCTCGCGAGGCGCGCTGGAGGCAGGGCCGGCGCCGCGCGCGCTCCCTGGGACGCGCCCGCCCGACGCCGTGACGCGCGCGAGCGCGCGCGCGGCTCTCCCGGCTCCCGCCCGGCGGGGCGCGCGCGCAGCGTGCGCGAGAGGGACGGAGGAGGACGGGACCTCCCCGTCTCTCCTCCGTCCCTCTCAGCGCACGCGCGGTGGGGAAGAGGGGCGGTGTGGGCTTGAGGCTGAGGGGGAAACGAGTGAGGAGGGAGAGAAGGGGAAAGACCGGGCGGAGGGAGCCTGTGGGGAAAGGGGAGGCGATGGGGTGAGGGGGGAGAGGGAGATCCTGGAGTGGGAGGAGATCCTGGAGGGAGATCCTGGAGGGAGCGCGGGAGTGCGGGAGGAGGGATTTAGGGAGCCGGGGAGAGGGGAGGTCGTGAGGGGAGCGGGGGAGAAGGGAGATCCTGGAGTAGGAGGGGAGATCCTGGAGGGAGCGTGGGGCGTTGGGAGTGCTGGAGGAGGGGGATTTAGGGGAGCCAGGGGGATTTAGGAGAGCCGGGGGGACACGGAGGAGAGGGGAGGTCGTGAGGGGAGCGGGAGGCGGGGGAAGAGGGGAGATCCTGGAGGGGAGATCCTGGAGGGAGCGTGGGGCGTTGGGGGTGCGAGGGGGATTTAGGGAGACGGGGGAGCGGGGAGGTCGTGAGGGAGCGGGGCGGCGATGGGGTGTGAGGGGGAGAGGGAGATCCTGGGGAGTGGGGAGGAGGGAGATCACCGGAGGAGAGGGAGATCGTGAGGGCGGGGAAAGGGAGATCCTGGAGGTAGCGGAGGGGGATTTAGGGAGACGGAGGAGAGGGGAGGTCGTGAGGGGAGCAGGGCGGCGATGGGGGCTGGGGTAGAGGGGCGCGGCAGGGGGACAAGATGAGGGGGCACCTGGGAAGTGAGGACCGAGGGGGAGACGGGAGGACGGGAGGTCGAACGGGGCAGTGCTGGAGGTGCGGGGAACAGGGGGTCCGTGGGTGGAGAGGGGCTCTGGGGCACAGGGGGTAGCAGGGGCGACGGGGAGAGGGGTGGAGTTGGGGGGAGCGGGGGAGAGAGGGTCACCGGGGTTGGGGAGAGGGGCAAGCTGGGGGAGCAGGGGGTGTCAGGAGAGAGTGGGATACTGGGGGGAGCGGGGGTAAACGCGGATGGGGGAGCAGGGCAGCAACCCCAGACCAGCCCCGCAGCCCCCGGCTGTGGCCCCAGAGGGACCGAGTGGGGTGTGGAGAGAGGGTCTGGGGAATAAATCCCGGGAATAAACTGCCGTTCCTTGGGTAGGACACTGGGCATACAGGAGGGTAACCCTGGGCTGAAGGTGCGAGGCGTGTCCCGACCCCCTGAGCAAGCCACCAGCCCGGCATTTAAACTCCTCAGATGGTCCTGGAGAAGCTCAGTGGTGTAAACTCCTCCAATGCTCCCAAGCCGAGCTCAAAACGAACTCTTTTATTTTAAACCTGCTCAGGAGCTGAAGTACAACTTTTATTCTCTTGGGGCCACGGCCTGCTCTGGAGTCACAGAGTCTGTCCAGAGTGATAAAATTCTTTGCATTCTTTCCCCAGTGGAGCTCCATCATCCCCTGTTCCCTGTGTCCAGAGTGTTGCCAGGAAAACATGGTCAGTTCTGCACAGAGGCACCGTTTTTCCAAGTAAGAATAAGCCCCCTCCAAGGCCAAAGCTCGGTGCTGAGCTCAGGGTCCTCCAATGGGTCACACACACACACAGAAAGTCACTTCCACTCTTCCCTTTACACTGCAGGGGACACTGTGCATGAAGAACAGGGAGAAAATGTTTTCCAAGAACTAAGTAAAGCACTGCATTGTGTTTGGACACCACTGTTTTTTGCTCATTCAAAAGAATCAGAAGAAGGTTAAAATATACACACATTTCAGACAAGGACTGTTAGTATTTCTGGACAGCTCAAACCACACTTGAAGGGTCCTGTCCACACATTTTTCTGCTTTCATTACAGCCAGACATCTTCCCTCAAACACCCTTTCCCTGTCACGTTTCATTAACCTGAAAAGTTCAGTTAATACAAGAGGATGACTCCAGTAAAACGCTGCAGGTGCCCAACACTTGCTAACTGACTGCATCCAGATAAAATTGAACATATTCCCTGAAACCTCAGATTCTGAGCCTCAGAATCTTTCAAATGAGGCCTCTTTCTCCTCAGCAGCTAAAGAAACTGAAGCTGAGGAAGCCCCACTGATAGTTTAGTTTGATTTAAAAGATACTCAGCCCTGTGCTTGTGGTAGTGCTGGGGGAAAGCTGCTGGTCAGAGAGGTCAACTTACTATAAATAGAAATAAATATATAAAAATAATATAAATAAAAATAACACAAGAATCCAGACACGATTACAAGACTAGTTACAATGTCTCAAAACACACCAATACAGAACTGTTTCCTCAGTAACAGAATGAACACAGCATCAAATATATGTATTTTACTCTTAAATAGAACAGCTTTATTCAACCAAACCCAAGATTATTCCAAAACTATCCCTTAACCTTGGCTTAAAGAATTATTTTTGCCATTCTTCCCCCTGAAAATCCCTTATGTATTGCTTAGAAACCAAAAAAGTACCTGTGAAATATTAATTTAAAAATTTGGGGTTTCTTTTGGAAAAACAGCAGGAAGGTGAGAATCTCTTTTTTTTTTTTTTAAACATTCTTTTTCACCAACAAAACTAATGGAATAGTGAGAGTTTACAAGAACACTTTGCTCAGCTTTATATAAAACTGAGAACCGAGGAGTGTGACTTGCACAGAACCTGGACAGGGGTGACGTGAGCTGACACAGCCCAGGATGGGTCTGGTAACGCAGATTAAAACTGGGAACTGCAGTCACACTCCAGTTCTCCCCTGCACCTCACTCTGAGCTTAGAAAAACACATTTTCTCTCCATGTCAGTGAAGTCTGAGCTAATTTGACTGTGAATGTTGTGGCTCAAAGCCCCGGCAGGGAGTGACCAGCACATGATGGGCTGGAGGGGACAAGCCACGAGCCCAAGGGCTGCAGTTTGAAAGCGTTGGAATCTTTAAGAAGAGTTTGTTCCCAGCCAAAAAGTCTCTTCCAAGGTAACAGACGTTGTTTGTGTGAGGCTTTCAAGATCCAAATAACCTGGGGGATGCAACAGGAAAAAAAGGAGATGAGAAGTGGGGTACAACAGTGCACAGTCACAGCAGTGCAAGGCTGAGTCTGTTTGAATAATTGGTGGGCTTCTACCCCCCAAAAAATGAACAATATCCCAATATTTAGACCCAAAGGATGTTTTATCTGAAAACCCCCAATAAGCAACATCATGTTTGGCTGAATGACTCACATGCTGGCACAGAAGGCTTTGATGCACTCCAGGTGCCCACACAGCAAAAAAACTGAGGCCAACCCATACTTGAAAATTGAAATGAACCATTAAAATCAATAAGAATTATAGAAAAATCGAGTGGGGGAGAAAGAGATGTGAAAAGAAATGCACGTGCAAGAAAAATCCCAATATACGACTTCCCGTAACCAAACGACATGTTACTTACACAATCATGCAGAACATCATGAAGATATTCCACAAGGCAATGAAGATTCGAAAATACCTGAGACTCAGCAAGAACTCTCTGATGTTGTCACCTAGAAATCAAGAGAAGAAGCCTCTGATGCGAAAAACACCTGACCGAGAGAAATTCCCACCCAACAAAACCCGCGGGGAATTGTGATTTGGCCGAGGATTTCCTTTGGAAAAGCCCATTCCCGTGTGTGTTCAGGCAGCCCCGCTCCGTTACCAGTCGTGGGTTCCCTCGGCTCCTCTCCGAATCCCTCCGTGTCCTTCCTCCTCCTGCGGCACAAGGGGGGCCGTGTGAGACAGGTGAATCTTCTCCCAAAAAACCTCCCTCCCTGCCCTCCCTCCTTCCCTCCCTGTGTTCGCTCACAGCCTGAAGTTGAGCACCGCACCGGCATTCACCAGCAGCGTCCTGCGGGAGAGAGGGACAGACATGGGGACAGGGATGGGGACAGGGACGCGGATGGGGAGATGCCAAGGGGAGACGGGGAAGCGGGGACGGGAGAGTGGATGGGAAGTGGGAGAGGAGGACGGGGATGGGGAGATGGGGATAGGAAGATGGGAAGGTGGGACAGGGAAGGGGGACAGGACAGTGGATGGGGAAGGGGAAGAAGGGATAGAGAAGGGGGGTGGAGAGGGGGACGGGGAATGGGTAAGTGACCGAGAAGGTGGACGGGGAAGGGGGACGGGAGGGTGGACGGGGAAGGGAAGAGGGAATGAGGAAGGGGAGCGGTGGAGATGGAGAGGGGGCCGGGGAAGGGAAAGAGAGGACGGGGAAGGGGCCGGGGTCACGGTCAGGCACGTCCGGGCCGGGCAGAGCCGGCCGAGCCGCCCCCGCTGCCCGTCCCCGGTACCCGCAGAGCAGCAGGTCCCCGATCATGGCTCCGGCGGCTCCGCGGGCGGAATTCCGGGGCAGCGGGAGGGGAAAGGGAAGGGGCGGGCGCTGCTCGGCACCGGCGGCGCCTGCGCTGCCCGGGGCGGCTCCGCGCCCGGACACGGCCGGGAGCCAACCGAGCCGAGCTCCCCTTCAGCGGCCCCGGGAGCCAACCGAGCTCGGCTCCCCCTTCAGCGGCCCCGGGAGCCAGCCGAGCCGAGCTCCCCCCGCTGCGGCCCCGGGAGCCAGCCAGGCCGAGCTCCCCTTCAGCGGCCCCGGGAGCCAACCGAGCCGAGCTCCCCCTTCAGCGGCCCCGGGAGCCAACCGAGCTGAGCTCCCCCCGCTGCGGCCCCGGGAGCGAACCGAGCCGGGCTCCCCGGGCAGCGAACCGAGCCGAGCTCCCCCTTCAGCGGCCCCGGGAGCGAACCGAGCTCGGCTCCCTCTTCAGCGGCCCCGGGCAGACCGAGCTGGCTCCCCGCTGCGGCCCAGGAGCCAGCCGAGCCGGGCTCCCCGGGCAGCGAACCGAGCCGAGCTCCCCGGGAGCGAACCGAGCTCGGCTCCCTCTTCAGCGGCCCCGGGAGCGAACGGCGGTCAGGAGGGAGCCGTGACCCGGCCCGGCCGCGATGGAGCTGTCGGAGGCGCTGCCCCTCGGGGATTTGGCGGCCGCCTTCGCCGCCCTGCCCGTCTTCCCGCTCTTCGACACCGCCTATTTCATCGTCTCCGTCCTCTACCTCAAGTACGAGCCCGGTGAGTGCGGCCCTTGGCCCGGGGTGGGGTACGGGCTGTGTCCCGCGTTCTCCGGCACGATCGGGTCCCGTCCCCCCTGTCCGCCCTCCCCTCTCGGCCGCTGTCACAGCCGCTCGAGGGGTCGCGTTGTCGCAGCTCTGACACCTGTGCCTAATTATGGAGCGGAACAACCCCCGCCTCCCTCTGCGAACTCGTGATTTTGGAAAAACAATCCTGCCTTTTGTTTACGGCTGGACTCCGAGCGCATTGAGGTGTTTTAGGTCCGATCACTTCTCTGCTCTTACCCCAGGACTGAGCGTTACGGTCCCTGGGCTTGAATATTTTCTGGCAGCACCTTCCTCGTATTTATATCCAGAAAGGCTGTGAAGAAAACCTTTGGGTTTTCCCACTCTCTGGACCGTGCCCTGATCTGTTCTCAGGCACCCTAACTGACCTTGCTTTGTTTGTTCCCTTGGGCTTATCTTGCACGGATCGATAGACCTGCACCTTGGCTTTCACTTTCTGCGTTGTCACAGCCTGGCTGCACCTCAGGCTGTTCCAAATGCCACTTTCTCTGTGTATTTTTGATGCTGAGTGCACTCCTCATGCTCTGTTCTAAGCAGTTGCATCGTAACTGCCCAGCAACTGAGGGGGGGGGAAAACCAACCCCACTCTTGGGTATGATTTTGAAGCCCCTCCTCGTGTGGTCTGTCGAGCTGCACAATCCACGCTCTGTTCTAGTTAATCTCCCTGTAAACAAGTGCTGGCTTTTCCAGGCCTGATCACTTCCAGCTGTCTTCCAGCATTAAGTCCTGAATGGAACAGTTAACAGGCAGCTCTCACAAAAATAGCCTTTTAAATGTATGCAAGCCCAGGAATCCACTGGGGCTGGATGAGGCTGGGGTGTGCTTTTCCCTGGATTCCTGCAGTGCTCCATCCCACAGCTCCTGAAGATCAGTGTCGGGACAGAACCGTCCTGTTTCCCCCTTGGAGACAGCAGGGCTTGACGGAGCCAAAGGAAAACAAGTGTTACTAAATTTAAACCTCGAGCTAAACCTCAGGTTCCTACAGAACCAGCTTCACGTCCCGGCTGTCGCAGCTGTCTCGCGGTTTTCAGCTGGTTCAAATGTCCTGGGGATGGAAGAGCCTGAGCTCCCGCAGCTTTGGCACATGCTGATGTACTTAAACTGCTCTTTAAGATGGGCATTGACACGACATTTGATCATTCTCTCTCTTGACTGCCTGCTCCTGGCTCGCTGAAAAGAGTTTTGTCTCTGAAATGCTGCACAAAGGACTTTGGGAGCTTTTTAGGGCGATGAAACGATCCCATGGAATTGGTGTTATTGGGAGATTTCCCTGAAGGAGCACAAAGGTGGATGAAAATGGCTACAGGAATTTACAAAAAGGTCGTGGGAGGAGACCACAATGTATTAACAAATAGTAACACTCTTTTAATATCTCTTATTTTCAAAGGGTATTCCCAGACTAGTACAGGAGCGGGGAAGAATCCTCAAAACATCTTCTTCCAAATAAAGATTAAGAATTCCTGTTCTATTTTTACAGGTTATCTTATGAATGAAAGAGCTGAACAGATTGTTGATGAATTCTAGAGGGCACCTAGGTTGAAGCAATGGAGAGAATGGTACCAGTATGCATTTTATTTTTAGACTGTAAAAAAAGCATTGATTTCGAGGGAAGAAGTGTCCTTTCTGGTCGCAGGAAGTAGCAGCAAATCAAGGCGAGAAACTCTCAGTTCTTTAACTTCTGATGCCTGTCCATGTGAGACCTTCAGGGGGGGCCTGCAGGCTGTGATCACACTTAACCATTTCTTGGCAATCTCTGCTACTCGCTCGGGCTTCCCAGCACACACACTTTGACATCTTGTTGTTTTACAACCACTTGTCTTTGACTTACTTTGTGGGAGAGCACACACACACACACACCTCGAGCCTCTTTCTTGGTGGGTCTTGAAGCCTCTGCTTGCTTGCTGGATTCATCTTCTCGCTGAAGGTTGGACGGGACGATCTCGAAATGGTCTCTTCCAACCTGGGTGAACTCTGTGATTTCCCACTCGCCTCGCAGGAGCCGTGGAGATGTCTCGGAAGAGCCCCTTCGCCTCCTGGCTCTGTGCGATGCTCCACTGCTTCGGGAGCTACATCCTGGCTGCTCTGCTGCTTGGAGAGGCCCCTCTGGAGCACTTCAGTCACAACTCCAGTGTCGTCCTGGCCACGGCAGTTTGGTGAGTCCCTTCACCACTGGCTGGGCAGGGAGATGTTGTGTTTGTGGCCCACGGGAATGATCCCGCCGGGATTAACTGGGGACAGGGAGGTGGGGTGAGGTAGGCTTTGAGTCTCCTGCATTCCTGGCTCTGGTTTCCCAGTTTCCCTGAGCAGTTGCCTAATGCTGTGATTATCTGGGCTGGGGCCAGGCCAAGGGCTGGGCACTTCTATTCATAGCAGCTGCTGCTGAGCCGGGGCCAAACCACAGCTGAGCCCACATATGGAGAGGAGTGGCCCTTCCTGAAGATTGGGGGGCGTTTTATTGGCTGTGATAGTGAAATGTGCCCAAATTAACCTTTGATTTCCTCGGTGTGCAAGGCTTTTATGTGCTTTTGCATGCCAGGATGAGCATTGTTAGGAAACACGAATGAAATAAGCCTTGGAGTGAATCCCTCAGCTCCCAGTTTTTCTATGCTTAAGAAAATAAAAAGAAAGATATTCTTTCAGGCAATCTTCTGGAAAAGAGGATATCTGTCCTCTGTCTGTAGTATCATTTCAGTATATGTAGCTTCTGATGCCTCTGGACCATCCAAGATATAAAAATCTAAAAGATTCTGAGTTAAATGATCTGGATTTTTATTCAGAACAGAATGGTATCAGTAGTGGGAGTTCTCTGAGTCCATTTGATATCAATTCAATTAAATGTTCCTGTAGAGAGGCTTTGTTGCCCACTGGTTTCCTACAGAATCAGCTGTAAAATTGAGAATGTTTCCCTCCTTTTTTTATAGAATCAGCTATGAAGTTAAGAATTTTTCTTTCTTTTTTTTATAGAACCAGCTGTGAAATTAGGAATGTTTCTTTCGTCTTTTTATAGAATCAGCTATAAAATTAAGAACATCTTTTTGTTATAGAACGAGCTATGAAATTAAGAATCATTCTTTCCTTCTTTATGGAATCAGTTATGTCATTCAGAATCGTTCTTTTTCTTATAGAATCAGCCATGAAATGAAGAATCTTTCTTTCCTTTTTTTTATAGAATCAGCTGGGAAATTAAGAATCATTCCTTTTTTTTTTTTTTATAGAATCAGCTATGAAATTAAGAACTTTTTTTTTCCTTTTCTTTATAGAATCAGCTACCAAATGAAGAATATTCTTTTCTTTTCCTTTCTTCTCCTTCACTCCCACCTGACGATAACTCAGGTTGATGCCACACTTCTCCCTGTACATCCCAGACCAGGACAAACAAATAGCCCCTTAAACTCTTGGTGTTTTGTGGGGGTTTTTTTGCAGGTACCTGATCTTCTTCTGCCCCATGAACCTCTTCTACAAGTGTGTCAGCTTCCTGCCCCTCAAGCTCATCTTCGTGGCCATGAAGGAGGTGGTCCGAGTCCGCAAGATCGCCGCCGGCGTCCACCACGCTCACCACCTCTACCACCACGGGTGGTTTGTCATGATGGCCACGGGCTGGGTCAAAGGTGACACAGGAGAGAGCCTGAAGGCAGCAGGTTGGAGAGCTCCCTGCTGGGGAGGGGTGGGAGAGGCTGGGAGGGGAGCTGGGAGCGAGCCTGGCGTGTGCTCAGCTGGTCACTCGGGCTCCCCACAACGCGTTTAGTGCTGGGTTCATCCTGGCTGAATCCACAGGGCTGTCTTGCAGAGTGGTTGTCAGCTCAGTCATCATCATCCAGCTCCCAGGGAGGCTGAGTTGGATGCTCCAGTGGCTGCCCGTGGAGGTTTGGCACATCTCTCGTTGGCAGCGGAGCTCCCTGGAGCGGTGATGCCTCCACCCCTTAAATTTACCACAAATCACAGCAAACAGGTTTGGCCTAAAGGGATATTAGGAAGAAATTCTTTACAGAGAGAGTGATCAGGCATTGGAATGGGCTGCCCAGGGAGGTGGTGGATTCACTGTCCCTGGAGGTTTTTAAGATGAGACTGGATGTGGCATCAATGCCATGGGCTGATGATCAAGGGTTGGACTTGATGATCTCAGAGGTCTTTTCCAACCCAGTTGATTCTGTGATTCCATGAAGGACTGGAGTCATTTAGGAATTCTTCATTCCTTCTCCTGTGTTCTACTGGTCAGTGTTGAAACAGCCCAGGCAGTTTT